TTAAGTACAGCTGTGTATCCAGCATTACTTTTCAGTGTGTATAATGTAGCTTTCCCAGAGAACAGCTGATGACCTCTAGAAATACAGAACTTCCCCCACAAAATGATACCGAACTAAATAAAACGGATTTTTAAAAATAGAGCCACAACATGATGATAAAAGGAACAGTTCTACAGGAAGTCATAACAATTCTAAACTTGCATGCGCCTAAGACAGCTATGAAATATGTAAATAAAAATTGGTAGAATTACTATAAAACATTGACAAGCTCAAAATGAGAGGGGCAGATGTTAATACACACCCCAATAATTGATAGATAAAACAGATTAAAATTCATAAGCATGTAACTTTTTTTTTTTTTTTTTTTTGAGACAGAGTCTTGCTTTGTTGCCCAGGTTGGAGTGCAGTGGCATGATCTCGGCTCACTGCAAGCTCTGCCTCCTGGGTTCATGCCATTCTCCTGCCCCAGCCTCCCAAGTAGCTGAGACTACAGGTGCCCGCCACCACACTGTTGTTGTAGAGACGGGATTTCACCACGTTAGCCAGGATGGTCTCGATTTCCTGACCTCGTGTTCTGCTCGCCTCAGCCTTCCAAAGTCTTGGGATTACAGGCTGAGCCACCGTGACCAGCCAGCATGTAACATTTTTTAAAACACAAGTTTATGATCACACATAGACATCTGTACCTAACAATTAGAAACTATATACTCAGAAACAGGCTACAGTAATCAAAACAGCATGGTACTGGTACAAACACAGACATATAGACCAATGGGACAGAACAGTGACCTCAGAAATACAACCACACACCTACAACCATCTGATCTTCGACAAACCTGACAAAAACAAGCAATGGGGAAATGATCTCCATAAATGGTGCTGGGAAAATTGGCTAGCCATATGCAGAAAACTGAAACTGGACCCCTTCCTTACAATTATACAAAGATTTACTCAAGATAGATTAATGTCTTAAATGTAAAACCCAAAACCATAAACACCCTAGAAGAAAACCTAGGCAGTACCACTCAGGACACAGGCACGGGCAAAGACTTCATGATTAAAATTCCAAAAGCAATTCCAACACAAGCCAAAATTGACAAAATAGATCTAATTAAACTGAAGAGCTTATACATAGCAAAAGAAACTATCATCAGAGTGAACAGACAACCTATAGATTGGGAGAAAAATTTTGCAATCTACCCATCTGACAAAGGCCTAATATCCAGAATTTACAAGGAACTTAAACAAATTTACAAGAAAAAAACAACCCCATCAAAAAGTGGGCGAAGGATACGAACAGACACTTCTCAAAAGAAGACATTTATGTGACCAACAGACATATGAAAAAAAGCGCAACTCATGGATCATTAGAGAAATGCAAATCAAAACCACAATGAGATACCATCTCACGCCAGTCAGAATGGCAATTATTAAAAAATCAAGAAACAACAGATGCTGGCAAGACTGTCGAGAAATGAAAACGCTTTTACACTGTTGGTGGGAATGTAAATTAGTTCAGCCATTGTGGGAGACAGTATGGAAATTCCTCAAGGATCTAGAACCAGAAATACCATTTGATCCAGCAGTCCCATCACTGGGTATATACCCAAAGAAATATAAATCATTCTACTCTGAAGACGCATGCACACATGTTTATTGCAGCACTATTTACAATAGCAAAGTCATGGAACCAACCCAAAAGCCCATCGATGATAGACTGCATGAAGAGAATGTGGTATATATATACCATGGAATATTACGCAGCCACAAAATGAATGAGATCATGTCCTTTGGAGGGACATGGATGAAGCTGGAAGCCATCATCCTCAGCAAACTAACCCAGGAACAGAAAACCAAACATCACATGTTCTCACTCATAAGTGGGAGTTGAACAATGAGAACACATGGACACAGGGAGGGGAACATCACACACCAAGGCCTGTTGTTGGGTGAGGGGTGAGGGGAGGGAATTTAGGGGATGGGTCAATAGATGCAGCAAACCGCCATGGCACACGTATACCTATGTAACAAACCTGCACATTCTGCACATGGATCCTGGAACTTGAAGTAAAATAAAATAAAATGAAAAGTTTAAACTCTTAAAAAAACCCTTGAAACATTTTTTTAATTGATTAAAAATCCAGCCAAGAGACCAGACACAGTGGCTCACACCCATAATACCAGCACTTTGGGAGGCTGAAGTGAGTGGATCACCTGAGGTCAGGAGTTTGAGACCAGCCTGGTCAATATGGTGAAACCCCGTCTCTACTAAAAAAAAAATATATACACACACACACACACACACACACACACACACATGTGTGTGTATATATACATATGTATTTATGCATACATATATGTGTGTATACATATACGTGTATATATACACACATATATAGATATATACATACACACACACATATTAGCCGGGCATGGTGGTGGGCACCTGTAATCCCAGCTACTCAGGAGGCTGAGGCAGGAGAATCGCTTGAACCCAGGAGCTGGAGGTTAGCTGAGATCACACCATTGCACTCCAGTCTGGGCGACAAGAGTGAAGCTCCATCTCAAAAAAAAAAAAAAAAAAAGAAATCCAGCCAGGACAAGTTTCTATAAATAAAGTTCATCAGAACACTGTCATTTCCATTTGTTATACACTGCCTAGGGCAGTGTATAACTAGAACAGCAGAGTTGAGTAGTTATCAGTAATGTTCATATTACTCTGCAAACCCAACACCTACTTATCCTGTGTCCTTTACCTTAAAAGTATGCTGATCCCACTGGGTGCAGTTACACAACTGTATGCATAATCCATAGAACTGTTCAGTAAGTTATTTTTAGTGTATGTAAAATATTCCTCAATAAACCTTACTTTAAAAAATAATGATTGAAGCCAACTTCCATTAATTTGTAACACTTGCCCAACATCACACAACTAATAATTGCTGAAGCTGAGATTTGAACCCCAGATATTTTAATCCTACAATCCATAATCCCCCACACTATCCTTGCTTCAAAAGAAGCTGCTTTCAGCTTCATGAAATTTCCTTCTATTCCTCTATTGTTTTGCTAAGAGGTCTCTTTGATGCTTTTATTTTTAAATCACCCCCCAGAAGTCCCCCACTTCCAGTCTCTGGTCACTACTGATCCTTTTTTTGCCTCTATAGTTTTGCCCTTTCTAGAATGTTAAAATAAATAAAATCATGCATTACATAACTTCTTGGGCCTGACTTCTTTTGCTTGGCATCATGCTGTTGAAATTCATCCATATTATGTTTTCTGTTCTTTTTCTTTCTTTTTTAGAAATGCAGTCTCACTATGTTGCCCAGGCTGGTCTTGAACTCGCGGCTTCAAGGGATTCTCCCGCCTCAGCCTCCCTGAGCACTGGGATTATAGGCGTGAGCCACAACCCCTAACCTGTTGTTCTTTTCCTAACTATGAGAACTAATAAAGACAGAGGAGCAAGGTTGTTCGCCAGGGCAGATACAGGTTTTTCTGAGGCCTGAGCTTATGCAATGTCATGGGCCCTGTCTTAGAAAAAGAATGCAAAATTCCTGATACAAAATTAAGTATAAAAGAAAAACAAAAAAAACAAAATTTAAAAATTAGGTATGAAAGAAGTTATTTTAAATAAGAAAAAAAACAAACAAACAATGCTGCCCCAACCACAGCAATTCTGAAAATTTGTATTTTACTCATCCTCATCAAATAAAGAAAAAACATATAGTTTCTTTTCAGTCATATACAGTGCACCATCTACTATATGTATCCTACAGGAGAGACGTTCAATTTCAAATAGGCAAAAATGAGAACCTAATTCTCTGCTTACAGTTTTATATTTTTTATGATTAGAAGAATCTTCCACTGACTAGTTTCAGGTTTCCTATATTCCAAACCTGGTTCCTCCTCCACTTCCTACATGGTTCTAGGGACTGATGCTCTAGGCACATCTGTGTCATGATCTACACCCTCTGGCCTTGCCCACTTTATGTCAGAATGTCTGGTGAGTTAGCACAGGGTATCTAGTGCAGGAAGCCAGCACTAGAACAGCTAGCAATCATTTGATCATAGACAAAAGTGATTGCAAACCACATAAAACTCCCATTAAATTCAAACTAAATGTATGTGCAACTAGCTTCCTCTAAATGGATCCCCAAAAATGCTCCCAGCCATCCAGCACTACTCCCTGGGAGATATGTGGCAGGAGAATTCTGAGTGGAAACAGACAATGGTCTTAACATATTGTGGTGAAGACAGCGGTCTTCACATACTCTTGCACATTTTAAAGAACAATTGACTGCATGATCCCATTGCCAGAGCCCCTCCCAGGGTCTTCAAGGGTTTATGCAAGCAAGTACCTAAAAACCTAAGGAAAATGATGGGAAACTGGATTTCAGATACTTACCAAAAAGAAGATGAAGGTAGAGATTGAGGGAAAGAGAAGATGTGCAGCCTTCTATTTTCATTTGCTGTTGTTGCCAGGGGTTGAAAAAGGACAGTGTACTTGATGACTCCTCTTTTGGAATAACTTAATCAGTCCCATCTGGCAGTGTCTTTTTTTTTAAGTAGACTCTTCAAGGAGTTGGGGAAGAGGCAATGCAGTCTTAGTGACTCCACTTAACTGGCTGAATCAACCACTGGGACTGAGTGGCACAGGCCCAGCTTAGCCTCCTCAAATCCCAGCAGTCCTGGAGGAACCTGAGTACTGGAGCCAACCTGGCTAGATTGGGTCCCCATACTTTTCTTTCAGTATTCTCTTAATGGAAATCACAGAACTAGCCTCCTTACTTCAGAAAAGCAGTTTTCTCTTTTGGAATCAAAAAACATCACAGACTAAGGAAACAACTACATTATCCAATTCACAGTGATATAAGATGATCTCATTTAATATGTTAAAAGGTATCAGATAAAGTAACTTTTTGGAACAAGAAGTAACTTAGAGCATTTTATTAGCAAGGTATTTTCATCTTTCTCATAGTTTTTGTTGCATAAGTGTCACATACCTTTAAAACTATGTTACAGTCAGCCCTCCATATCCACGAGCTCCACATATGTAGATTCCACCAACTACAGATCAAAAATATTTGAAAAAAAAAAGTGTCTTTACTTAGTATGTACAGACTTTTTTCTCTTGTCATTATTCCCTAAACAATACAGTATAGCAACTCTATATATAGCATTTATATTGTATTAGGTATTATAAGTAATCTAGAGATAATATAAAGTATATAGGAGAATATACATAGGTTGTATGCAAATACTACATCATTTTATATCAGGAACTTGAGCATCTGTGGATTTTGGTAGGTGAAACAGGTCCTGGAACCAGTCCCCTTAGATACCAAGGGACTACTGTATTTATTTTCAACTAGATTGCTTAAATATAGACTGTGTTCTTCAGCTAGCAGATTCTGAGGAATGGAGGAATACAGAGTGTATATTTTTTAAGATCATTCATTGATTTTTAAACATTTATGGGGCTGATCCTGGCAATTATTTATTTGTAGGTCATTCTTTTTACCTCAAAGGATTTTTATGATATGAGGATATGAGGAAATTTGGATTAAATGCTTTACATAGAGAATATATGTTACTTTATAATAAAAATGTAAATAAAGCAATAGGTATGGGGAGTCCTTTTTACTTTTAGTCAACACTGGGTCAAGTACTTTGGGTACTCATATGTACCCTCAGAGAGTTTACAGTTCAGATGGAGAGAAAACCTAACGTTTATGCAACACCAGTACACATTGTAAGACAAGGTAAAATTATGTGCCTATTTACAAGGTACAGGCTACCAACAGTGTAGAAAGAAGTACAGAGGCAAGAGGAAGAAGGAGAACATAGTTTCCCGTAAGGATCCCAGATGAAGATGGGTTGGAGAATATTGAGAGAAAGGAGCCCCCATTGATAGAAGCCAATATAAGAATTTTCACAGAACTAGGGGTAGCCTTTAGATTTCTTGGGATTTTTTTATGTACACAATCATGTCTGCAAATGGAGGCAGTTTGCTATCTTCCTTTCTAATGTATATGCCTTTTATTTCCTTTTCTTATGATACTGCACTGGTTAAAAGTTCTAGCACTGTGTCAAATAAGACTGGTAAGACCTGACATCTTTGCCTCGTTCCCAATCAGGAGCAAAGCTTTGGCCTTTCATTATTAGCCATAATGTTGCTGAAAGCTTTTTTACATGCTGTTTATCAATTTCAATTCTTTTTAAATTTGTTGACGTTTTATGACCTAGAATATAGTCTGCCTTGGTATACCTTCTGTGACACTTGAAAAGAGTATGTATTCTGCCGTTGTTGATTGGATTGTTCTACAAATGTTGATTATATCCTATTGCTTGATAGTGCCACTCAGTTCTATATCTTTGCCGATTTTCTATCTAGTCATTCTCTCAATTTTTAAGAGACGACTGTTAAAGTTTACAAGTCAATTGTGGATTTATCTATTTCTCATTTTATTTCTACCAGTTTTTGCTTCACATGCTTTGTAGTTCTACAAAGCGTGTAGAGCCTGCTGTTTGGTGCATACACATTTAGGATTGCTATGTCTTCTTGACAGATTACCCTTTATCATTATATAATGTCTTTCTCATTCTCTGGTAATTGTCTTTGCTCTGAAGTCTGCTTTCCCTGAAATTAATATAGCCACTCCTGCTTTCCATTGACCAATATTTTCATATTATGTCTTTTTTCATCCCTTGGCTTTCAATTTGCCTGTATCATTATATTTGAAGTCAGTTTCTTATAACAGCATATAGTTCGGCCATATTTTTAAATTCATTCTGTCAATCTCTGTCTTTAAATTGGTATGTTTGGGCTATTTACATTTAATATATTCATTGACATGTTGGGGGTTTAAATCTGTGTATGTGTTTTTTTCTTTGTTCACTAATTTTTGCAGCTCTGTGCAGGGGAGGAGCATGGGTTGGTCCCTTATCTTCCTATGGATTACTTGAACATATTGTAGAATCTCACTTTGATTTATCTTGGTGTTTTTGAGTACATCTCTCTATATAGCCTTTTTAATGGTTACTGAAACTATTAGTGTGGATTTGGCCTCATTACTGCTGGGTGATGTAGAAAGTCCTAACTCTCCACTAAGCCTCCTCTGACACCATCCCAGTGGGAGAGGAAAGATGTAATTCATTACAGCCAGGAGGGGATGGAAGTCCAGGCTCCTCATGTGGTCACCACTGATACTGCAGTGGTGGTGGTGGTGGTGGCAGTGGGGGATGGATGAGGGCTCATTACCACCCTCTGGGGATAAAAATCCCAGCTCCCAGTTTGTCTCTGACATCACCCTGGTAGGAGATGGAGCCTTGAGGGGTCCATCATGGGATGCCTCATTACACTCTGTCAAGGGTGGAAGTCTAGGCTCCCCATTCTGTCTTTGGTGGTAAGGATGAGGTCGTAGTTTTTTCTGTGGTGTTGGCTGCAGTCAAGTGGTTATTGTCTGAAAGGTTTTAGTCTTGCTAGGCTTCCTCTTTCTTGGTCATTTTGGTAGAGAGAGCAGACTTTTGTTAGGGCTTTTTTGGTCTGCTTCCATTGGCATTTCCAGGTAGCTGCCTTCTTCAGCTCTTAGTCTGGGATAATGGGGCAAAGAGATAACCCAGGGAGTTTGCCGTGGAATTATTCTTGGTCCCTAAAATCTCTAGCTGGTCTGCTATCTTCTCTCTACCTTTCAGAGTCTTTCTATTTTTCAAAATACGTAATGTCTAGGATTTTTCACTGTACTTCGCCGGAGGGAGAGGGAACAGTGTAACTAGTACAGCTATCTTCCTAGAAGCAAAGATCCTATAAATATTATTTAATTAATGACAATTTAATTGTTCATTTTCAAAGGCCCTGTTAATCTGCCTGCTATTTTTCAGTACGCCATTGGATAGGCTTTTTTCCTCATGCTGCACACTTAAAAGTATACATATTAGGCTGGGTGCCGTGGCTCACGCCTGTAATCCTAGCACCTCGGGAGGCCGAGGCAGGCAGATCACCTGAGGTCAGGAGTTCAAAACCAGTCTGGCCAACACGGTAAATCCCCATCTCTACTAAAAATACAAAAATTAGGCAGGCATGGTGGTGGGTGCTTGTGATCCCACCTACTCGGGAGGCTGAGGCAGGAGAATCGCTTGAACCTGGGAGGTGGAGGTTGCAGTGAGCTTAGATTGTACCATTGCACTCCAGCCTGGGCAACAGAGAGAGACTCCGTCTCAAAAAAAAAAAAAGTACACATATTAGTCAGGGTTCTCCAGAGAAACAGAACCAACAGGATTATATAAAGAAAGAGATTTAGTCTAAGGAATTGGCTCATGTGATTATGGAGGCTAGCCAGCCCAGCCCTAAGATCTTCATGGTGAGTTGGCAAACTGGAAATCCAGGAGAGCTGATAAGTTTAGTTCTAGTCCAAAGGCCTTAGAACTAGAGAAGATGATACAGTTTTAGTCTAAACATGATAAGCCTGAGATCCAGGAAGAGCTGATGTTTCAGTTCAAGTCGAAAGGCAGGAATAATTCTCCTTTATTCAAGGATGGGTCAGTGCTTTTATTTCAACCACTTGGATGAGGCCCACTCACACTATGGAAATTAATCTGCTCTATTCAGTCTATCAATTTAAAAGTTAATCTCTCTAAAAACACCCTCACAGCAACACCCAGAATGTATGACCAAATATTAGGGCACCCCATGGCCCAGTCAAGTTGACATGTAAGATTTACCATCACAGTATGCAAACATTTAAAAGCTCGGGCCTACCAAACTGGTTAAGTTGGACCTAAATATGAACTCTGACAGAACATGTTCACAAATTCACATTTGAGGCTCACTTTGAGATATACAGAGAAACTCAAGGGAATGAGTAAACTCTTTGATAGATCAAAAATTTGTTTAAAGGAAGCAAACACTAAAACCTGAAAGGCAGTGTGATATTAGGAGAAATAAGAACCTTCTGGTCACCGTGTTTCTTCAGGAGAGCTTTATAAATAGGAAAACTGTTAAAACTTTTATTTTTCCTGATTCTTAGGGTAAGAATTTATTTTTTCTATTGTGGAAAGGTTAAAAAATTCAAACTAGGAATTTCTCATGACCTGTAATCCCTTTGTCACAATCTTAACATGTCCCCCTGGGGCCAGCATCTAACGTCAAGGCCTGGCTGGTTCTGGGTGCAGGCATCACTTGCTGGGGATAGCTTCGGACTCAAATAGACTTTAGTTCCCAGGCGTGTGACCTTGGGTAAATGGCTTTACCTCTCTAAACAGCAGTCTTTTTATCTAAGAATAGAGGGATTTCATATCTGTAATCAGTAGTTATACTGTAAGAATTAAATAAAATAACGTCTATGAAGCGTAGTGTTGAACATGTAGTAGCCACTCAATAATTCTCGCCCTGACCACTTCTTATTATCATCATAAGACAGCCTTTTGTCATTGTAAACTCTTAATAAATACCATTTTTTAAAGGCTGCAAAACGTCCTCTTGTATGAGTATTCTATAATAAAACATTCCCTCCTAAGGTGACACATCTAAGTAATCTTTAATTTTCCAGTTTTATAAATGAGATTGCCATCTTGGTGCTTAAATATCTGTTTCACTTTGGATCATTTCCTTAAGTGCAGCTTCTTTGAGGCAGAATTAAAAAGTGAAGAGATAGAACCTTCTAGAAAGGTGGTACCAAGATTGCACTAGCAATGAGAGACAGAGAGAGAGTTTTCTGATTTTCAAACTTTATGTTTTCTAGAAGCATCAGATGGTGAAGGAGGAGGAGACACAGAAGTGATGCAGCAGGAGACAGTTCCAGTTCCTGTACCCTCAGAGGAAACCAAACAGGTGAGGGGTCACTGTGGGAGAGCCACCACTGTTAAATTCTGAAATCAGCCTTTTCCTCCTCTCTGTTGTTGAACTCCCCGTGTCCTAATATCGGTTGTTGGTGGAATTTAAGAGAGCCTTTTACTTTCTTTCCGTTTGAAAAGGCCATGGGCCATGCTTCCTTCATTGTAAACCAGCAAGGTCTGTTTTTTGCTCTAATTCTTTTTCTTCCCCCCCCCTTTTTTTTTTTTTTTTTTTTTTTTTTTTGAGACAGGATCTTGCTTTATCACCTGGGCTGTAGTACAGTGGCACAATCATGGCTCACTGCAACCTTGACCTTCTGGGCTCAAGCAATCCTCCCACCTCAGCCTCCCAAGTAGCTGGGACACCACAGGCATGCGCCACCACACCCAGCTAATTTTTTTGTTTTGTAGAGATGAGGTTTCTCCGTGTTGCCCAGACTGGTCTCAAACTCCTGAGCTCAAGCAATCTACTTGCCTTGGCCTCCCAAAGTGCTGGGATTACAGGTGTGAGCCACTGCTCCTGGTTCCTAATGTTTTTTAACTATATAAATGTTTTTCACAATAATGATATCTTAGATTCTTACATCACATTTTTGCCAAAAATTCAGCCTTATGCTTTTGGGTACAATTCCTAAAAGGAGACAAATAGCATAGATAGAGAAGATTATCACACACTCGAGTGCATGATTACAGCACCAGGCCATGCTGCCAGCAGGCTCCTGGGACCTTATTTCTACCCAGCATTATGGTCTGTCATATGCATTCTTAACAGGGGATCTGTGGTCTTTGCATTATCAGAATTGGCCATTTGGATAATCTTTTTTCCTAAACCTTTTACTGCCTTTTAAATCTTCCTACTGATGTGAGTAATGCTACTCACATCCATTTGTAGCTTTTTCTCCTTGGGTTTCCATCAAACCTGATTGGTATTTAGTTTGGTGCAAAAGTAATTGTGGTTTTTGCCATTACTTTTAATTTAAAAAAATTGCTTTTGCACCAACCTAATAAATCTGTGTGATTTGGGCTTTTTGGGGTTTTGTTTGTTTGTTTGTTTTTGAGATAGAGTCTTGATCTGTTGCCCAGGCTAGGGGACAGTGGCACAATCATGGCTTACTGCAAGCTCAACCTCCCAAACTCAAGTGATCCTCCCACCTCAGTCTCCTGAGCAGCTGGGACCACACTAGCTAATTTCTTTATTTTTTTGTAGAGATGAGGTCTCACTATGTTACCCAGGCTGGTCTCGAACTTCTGGGCTCAAGTGATCCTCTTTCCCTTGGCCTCCTAAAGTGCTGGGATTACAGGCATGAGCCACAGTGCCTGGTTTATGTGTGAATTTTTAAAGGACTGTCTACTACCAATCCAAAGTTACTGTATTTTTCATTGCAACAATTTGGGGTCTTATTCTTATTGTAGGTGCTTTAAACTCATTACACCAGAGTGTTATTCTACCCAAAGTTTGTGACCCAGCTCAGGATAACTGTAAGAAGCAATTTAGTGTAGTGTTGCTTAACTTGCCCACCCATGTGGGCAAGTTAAATTTCTCTGTGACTCAGTCAATGGTAAATGGTAATAATTATGTCTTCCTCACAGAGTTGTAATGATGATTAAATGAGTTGGTACTTGATAAGCACTTCAAACAGTGGTTATCAAAGAGAATCACTGAAGTGTTAATTATTATAGTTATAGTTAATAATTATATTATAATCTTTTTTATTTTGCCCATTATTTTTTCTTCCTGGGAAGGGATATGCAGAAAGGTATACGTGTTTAATATATAATCATCTTGGTTTTTTTCTCCAACCATTAAATATTCTGCTCAAAGGCCCTATACTGGTTTTAATTTTAATCATTCTTCTGGAAACCTACAGGGTAACACATCCTTAGCTTTTCAATTTATTTCCTCAAGGTGGGGTTTAATTTTTCCATAGCTTATCCCACTAATCATACCATAGCCATGCCCTCTTTGACTTTTGCCTCTAATCAATGTCTGCCTACAGGACTTATTTGCACGTATTCTTCTTTATACTCCATTGGCTTTCGTTTTTTCTTGGTTTCCCCTTGATTTTCTTCTTGTTTGTTCCTTGCTCTTTCTGGACCCATTGGTAAAACAAAAAAAGACCTTTTATTGAGCAGTTAATACTGTCACTGTATAAAGCACACTGTACCATATAATCCTGACAGCATCCCTAGGAGGTAGGTGACACCCACTTTACAAGAGAGACAGGTTCTGGGGGTCACAGCCCATCTGGTTGGCTGTGAGCCAGGCTACGAGGATACTGTTGCTTTCACTTCCCTTTTTACCTGTCCTTTCTCTTTCAGCTGAGGAAAATTGGATTAACTATGTTCTAATGTGTTTTGTTGGTCACATGCCATTGCTATTTTCTGCCAAGCAAAAAAAATAATTACAAAATCTTAAGCTGTTACTGCCCATTTTAATCACCTTTCTCTTGCTTTAATTTCTTTCACCACCAAATTGCTTTGAAGAGTCCAAGTCCTTGGTAAGCAAAATGCCCTAACCCCTTTCTCCAACCCTATCCTAATTTCCCTGGCCAGATAAATATCCTTTTTCTCTGAAATGACATGAGAATCTGCATGTGCCCCTCTGCCTCATATGAGTGTTGCCCATCTTGGTCCCTGCTTATCCCCAGGAGGCTCACCTCAAGGACAGATTTTATCTGTGCGTCTCCAGAGCGCCTGGCATGGAACCTTGCCCTTAATTGGCACTCATTATTTGTGAATGAAGGAATGAATGACCATACCAGTATCCCAGTTTTCTCATGACTCTTCCCATCTCAGCCCTTTGTCCAGCTTGTGAGCCATCAGCTCCCTGACACAGCTGCCTGCAGAGGTCTTTTGGGGCCTTGTGATGCCCTATCCCTCCTCCAGCCACATCCCTGATTTCCCAAAACAGTTCCCTCCTTGAAAGGCTCCTCCACCTTGACATTCAGGGCTGGAGTCTGTCCTCTCCATCCCTGCCTGCCCACACAGTCACCCAGCTCCCCTGTGGCCTCCTTCGTCCTCTCTCTGCCACTGCTCTTCTCCCTCTGGAACTTATCCCACCACCCCAAGGATGACTTACTTGTCAGGCATACTGTCTGTCCTTTCAGGAGTCCTTCTCTAATTGTTTACACTCAGAACTTGAGTCTCCAGCTGGTTCATAAGTCCCTTGGGCCAGGGTTTCTTTTGTGTCCACTATAGTAGCTAACACAGTTTGGGGCTCTTATTTGGCAGATATGGCCAGATGTGTGTTTTCTAAATATAACTGCATTTTTTCTGGATCAATTTTTTTAAAATTTTATGCTGTATTTAAATTTTAGATTTGTTTCAGATTTGTTTAAGACGGTGCTGTTCTTTCAGTTTGTCTTTATGCTTGTACAGGAACCACTTGGCATGATGCTGTCAGCTGTAATACACATTTAGGCTTTAATATCACCAGGCAAGAGCATCTGTCAAGATAGATGATGTTCCCTCCTTTGCCGTAGCTGGGCCTCACATTTGTGTCACTGAATACATTATTGCCTCTAGTTTGTTCATATTTTAGGCAGCAGATTTATAACTTTAAAGTTTTTAAATCCATGCAACTACCTCATCTCTAGCAACCATTTCACATCTAAATAATCATCCTTGGCCTGCTTAATAATGTGAGTATAAAGATCTGCCAACAGTTCTTTTTTCCCTAGTAATCACTTCCAAAATAAATGATGAGTTCCCTACTCCTAGAGATTGCATCACCCTCTTCCCTCTTCAACATCGGTCATTTCAGAGCCAGCCCTAGTGACTTTGTAATTATGGTTCCCAGAATATAAACCCTTACAAAGGATTTTGTGACTTTTCCTTGATGCTTCCATGATGTCAGTAGCATTTCAGTGGTTCCATGACCCATCTTCTCCTGCTCAGAGGCCACAGTGGACTTCCTTTTTCTTCGCTGTCCTTTTGTTTATCTCCTTTAATCATAAAGGAATCTTCAGCAGGAGTGTTTCTCCCTTTCCCTTCTTACTTTCCTTTCTCTACTGTTGTATTTTCTTGCTACTGCTTTATTTGAGCATTGGTCATTTCATATTTCTTCCACTCTTTATCTCCAAGATTATGCTTATCTATTGTTAAAAGAAAACAGGACTATGTCCTATTCATTCTCTGATTCACCTTTTTCCTTTTCATTATGTTTTCTCAGTTCTGTTCTTTGTATTAATCTATTGTTTCATTGACAAATTGCCCAAAACTTAGCAGCTTAAAATAAAACAAAAACATTTAGCATCTCTTATCAGGTACCAGCCAAGTTGTGGGCTGGGGCTGGAGGCTCATGGGGAGAGTTTTCCTTGCAGCTCACTTGTGTAGTTATTGGCACGTCTCAATCTCTCACCATTTGAGCCTCTCCACAGGGTTGCCTCACAGCATTGCAGTTGCCTTTCCCCAGGCCGAGTGATCCAGGAGGGAACCAGCAAAAGTACCCAAGACAGAAACCACAATCTTTTTATAGTTTATTCTCAGAGTTAACACCTCATCACTTCTGCCATATTAAGCAAGTTAGTAAATCCAGGCCACATTCATGGGGAAGAGATTACAAAGAGATTACCAAGAGATCGAGATCTTGAGGAGCTATCCTGGAATCTGGCTACCACACTCTTCCTCTGGCCCCTCAATGACTTACATCCCTTCAATGTGCAGAATATACTCACCCCTCCAAGGATTGCAAAGTCTCATCCCATTGCAGTGTGAGCTCAATATCCAAAATCTCATCATCTAAATCAGGTCCAGGTGCAGTTGGGGCTCCTCAGTTTTAATTCCTTAAGTACACCGCTTTGAGTACATTTCTTCTCAACCTATGAAACTAAAGAGACAAGTTACCTCTCGTACATGCTCAACACACAGGGTGGGACAAGTGTAGGATAACCTTTATTGACATTTCTATTCAAAAGGCGGCAAATAGGAGGCACATGGAGTCATTGGTGCACAGCATTCTGAAGGCCATCCAAGCAAGTATCAGTTTATTTATTAAGGGTCGAGGCCTAAGAGTAATTCTCCGTGGTTCTTGGCTCTGCCCTTTGGGCTTTGTTGTGTCCTCCAATTATCCTTCTTCTTCTTCTTTTTCTATGAAAAGCAGCATGTGTTTGCAACTGAGCATCTAATGCAGCCTGCTTCTTGACAGAATTCTCCATGTCCAAAGGCCTCTGCTCTCATTGTTCTCTGACTCTCTCAGCCCAAACTAGTGGTATTTCTACATATATACCTCCTTTAAAAACTGTGGGTGTCACCTGTGATGCTTCTGGGTGTTCACTCCATTAGGCAGAAGTCACACCCGTAATCTCTTCTCTACCTTGGGCCCTTGCTGAGAGAATATGAGGCAATATCCCTTAAGCTTCCTAGAGGCATCTTGTTTGAGAAAATCTGTGAGCACACCCCTAATTTCTTTAAAGTGCTCCTGTGTGACTGAATAGTATTCTGAGGCACCATCTTTGTTTCTTCTGAGGTCTTAACAAATGGTTTTAAGTCGCACCCTTGATTTCATCTTTAATAGTCTTCTCAATTTAACTCCTTCCTTTTTCATTCTACTGTAAGAGCCAAGAAGAAATTAGGTGTCCCCTTCAACACTATTTGAAAATCTCCTTACCTAGATTCCCCATGCCAGTAGACACATTTTCCGTATAATTTCAGAGAACTGTATTGCTAAACTTTCTACCACTGCATAACAAAGAGTCCCTTTCCTTCAGTTTCCAGTAAGATTCTTCTTTCTTCAAGCCTTCACCTTCCATGTCTTCAAAGTCCAAAATTTCATAAAGTGTTGTTCAAGCACATTCTTCATCAATCACTTTACTTTTGACACATTTCAGAGTAGTTTGCAAAATCAGTACACTCACCCCAGATACTTCAGCATGCCTATCAATGACTAATGCTTAATATTTGTCTTAAAGTTTGTGTATTTTCTTTTGAGGTAAAGTTAATATACAATAAATGTACAAATGTCAAATATACCATTCAATGAATTTTGACAAATAAATACAACTGTGTAACCAAAGCCCAATCTGGATTAAAAAAAACCAGGATCATCACCCCCAAAATCCTTTCATGCCACCTGGGTCAATCACCATGCTAAATTCCTTGCCCCAGAGTCAACAACTGTTCCGATTTTTTTTCTAAAAAATTAATTTTGCCTGTTGTAAAATGTCATAGAAAGTTACATGCTCTTTTGTTTAAGGCTTCTTTCATTCAACACAGTATTATTTAGATTCCTCCATGTCAGTGTATAGTATTTCATTCCTTTTTATTGCTGAGCACATTAAGTCTGCTAGGGCTGCCGTAACAAAATACCACAGACTGGGTGGCTGAAACAACAGTTCTGAAAGCTGGAACTCCATAATCAAGAGGTCTACAGGTGTGGTTTCTCCTGAGGCCTCTCCCTTCACTTGCAGATGGCCTTCTCACTGTGTCTTCACATGGTCCTTTCTCTGTCTATCCATATCCCTGCTGTCTCACTGTGTCTTCACATGGTCCTTTCTCTGTCTATCCATATCCCTGCTGTCTCACTGTGTCTTCACATGGTCCTTTCTCTGTCTATCCATATCCCTGCTGTCTCACTGTGTCTTCACATGGTCTTTTCTCTATCTACACATATCCCTGCTGTCTCACTGTGTCTTCACATGGTCTTTTCTCTGTCTACGCATATCCCTGCTGTCTCACTGTGTCTTCACATGGTCTTTTCTCTGTCTACGCATATCCCTGCTGTCTCACTGTGTCTTCACATGGTCTTTTCTCTGTCTATGCATATCCCTGCTGTCTCACTGTGTCTTCACATGGTCTTTTCTCTGTCTATGCATATCCCTGCTGTTTCACTGTGTCTTCACATGGTCCTTTCTCTGTCTATCCATATCCCTGCTGTCTCACTGTGTCTTCACATGGTCTTTTATCTGTCTACGCATATCCCTGCTGTCTCACTGTGTCTTCACATGGTCTTTTCTCTGTCTACGCATATCCCTGCTGTCTCACTGTGTCTTCACATGGTCCTTTCTCTGTCTATCCATATCCCTGCTGTCTCACTGTGTCTTCACATGGTCTTTTCTCTATCTGCACATATCCCTGCTGTCTCACTGTGTCTTCACATGGTCTTTTCTCTGTCTACGCATATCCCTGCTGTCTCACTGTGTCTTCACATGGCATATCCCTGCTGTCTCACTGTGTCTTCACATGGTCTTTTCTCTATCTACACATATCCCTGCTGTCTCACTGTGTTTTCACATGGTCTTTTCTCTGTCTATGCATATCCCTGCTGTCTCTTCTTCTTATCAAGACACTAGTCACATAGAATTGAGGCTCTACCCTTATGACACCTCATTTAACCTTAGTTGCCTCTTTAAAGGCCCTGTATCCAAATATAGTCACATTGGAGGTTAGGGTTTTAACATATGACTTTCTAGGCAACACAATTCAATTTAGAACACTGAGTAGTATTCACTTATACAAATGTACCATTTTGTTTATCCATTCTTCTATTGATGGACACCTGAGGCTATTTCTTTTTTTTTTCTTTCTTTCTTTTTTTTTTAAAAATGGAGTCTTGCTATGTCACCCAGGCTGGAGTGCAGTGATGCGATTCCCGGCTCACTGCAGCCTCTGCCTCCTGAATTCGAGCGATTCTCCCACCTCAGCCACCCGACTAGCTGGGATTACAGGCATTTGCCATCAGGCCCGGCCAATTTTTGTATTTTTGTAGAGATGGGATTTCACCATGTTGGCGAGGCTGGTCTTGAACTCCTGACCTCAGGTGATCCGTCCACCTGGGCCTCCCAAAGTGCTGGGATTACAGGCGTGAGCCCCCCCAGCCTAGGGCTATTTCTTGTTTGGGACTATTATGAATAAATTCACCACGAATATTCACATACAAGTTTCTTGGGGAATACTTTTTAAGCTTTTTATTGTATTTTACATTTTTAATTGACACGTAATAATTCTGTGTATTTCTGGGGTACACAGTGATGTCTGTATAGTGTTCACATCAGGGCAGAACATAAATTTTTATTTCTCTTTAGTAAATACATGACACTTGCTGAGTCATCTTCAGTTTCATTAAAAAAAACTGCCAGATCTGTTTCCTAAATGATTGTACCATTTTGCACCCCCACCATCAGTGTGTGAGAGTTTTGGTTGCTGTATATCCTTGTCAACATTTGGAGTTATTGGCCTTTTAATTTTCGACATTTTGGTGAGTGTGTATAGAATAACTTTTACCATGTCCAAAAGAAACTAAAAGCCACTTCTAAGTTGTTTTTATCTTAATAATGAACATGCTTGTTTTGTTATAAAATGGCAATGTAAATTTTTTTATTCTTACCAACCTAATAATCATACATATCTTTTTTAAAAATACCAGCTGGGCATGGTGGCTCATGCCTCTAATCCCAGCACTTTGGGAGGCTGAGGCGGGCAGATCACTTGAGGTCAGGAATTCAAGACAAGCCTGGCCAATGTGGTGAAACCCTGTCTCTACAAAAAATACAAAAATTTGCTAGGCATGGAGGCACACTCCTGTAATCCCAGCTACTCAGGAGGTTGAGGCAGGAGAATCACTGGAACCCGGGAGGCGGAGGTTGCAGTGAGCTGAGATCATGCCACTGTACTCCAGCCTAGGCAGTCTCAAAAAATAAAAATTTAAAAAATTTAAAAATCAAACAATATTACTTATTTACTAAGAGAAAAATTCAGCTTCTCTAGCTTTTTTCCTTACTTTTCTGCCTTATAGTTTACACTGGTATTTCTTGACTTAGCAATGTCTGATGTAATCTACTGACATCCTGACTTAGCATATGAGGACATAGTTTTCCCATCTGTTATACTTCCTATTCCCTCACCAACTGCTACCTCCCCTGCCAACAAGATACCACATTTTGGTCAAAACAGTTGTCACTATTACATCATTATGATGATGGAAATATTGTTCAATGCTGAGAGAAAGAAGCTATAACCATCCCTCCTTTCTTATACAACTCTTTATTTTCATGGCATTAATAGTTGCTTCATTTCTTTATTTGCATGGCTTTCTGTGTTCCTATTGTTAATTGTTTCCATATGTTCCAACATCTCTTCCACATGCCCATGAATAATATTTTCCATATGTTCAAATAGGCTAGTCATTTTGTTTTGTTTTGTTTTCCTGCAAAACTCCATATTTCTATTTCACTCCAAATTGGTTATTCTCCAGGCCCACTGAACAATTGAGACCTCTTAACTGTCATCCTAGGATGCCCCTTCAGCGCCCTCCTGGGCTGGACTCCTTTTTAGCTAAATCCCATAGCTTCCTTTTGTTTGGTTTCACCCTTTGTATTCTGAAATACAGCCTTCAGTATCTGCAGGTAGGATGTAAATTTTTTGAGACTTCATATATCTGAATATGTCTTTATTCTACTCTTACACTTGATTGATACTTTGGCTGGGTATAAAAGTTTAATTTGCAAATAAACTTTCTTCATAATTTTGAAAGCATCATTCCATTAAGTTCTAATATCCATTATTGCTTTTTAGAGATCTTGGCACTATTCTTTTTTCTGATCCTTTGTATTTTGTATGTTGCATTTTGGAGGGGAATATTTTAGAATCTTCTTTGCCCATAATTTTCTGAAATTTTATAGTGATGCTCCTTGGAATGGGTATTTTTCATATTCATTGTACCCTATACCTAATGGGCTTTCAATTTGGAATTTCATGTTCAAAATTTCCTTCAGGCAGCACAAGTTTGTCACATATTACTTCTTTTTTTTTTAAATTTTATTTTGTCATGTGTTATTTCCTTGATGACTCCTTTTTAGAGACAAGGGTCTTACTTAGTCACTCATGCTGGAGTTCAGTGGTGCAATCATAGCTCACTGCAACATTGAATTCCCGGGCTCAAGAGGTCCTCCTGCCTCAGTCTTCCACGTAGCTAGGAGCACAGGTATGCACCACCACACAAGCTAATTTTTTGTGTATGTGAGGCGGAGTCCCACTCTGTCACCCAGGCTGGAGTGCAGCGACACAATCTTGGCTCACTGCAACCTCTGCTTCCCGGGTTCAAGCGATTCTCCTGCCTCAGCCCCCTAAGTAGCTGGGATTGCAGGTGTGCACCACCATGCCGAGCTAATTTTTGTATTTTTAGTAGAGACGGGGTTTCACCATGTTGGTCAGGCTGGTCTTTTTTTTTTTTTTTTTTTTGAGACGGAGTCTCGCTCTGTCACCCAGGCTGAAGTGCAGTGGCGCAATCTCCACTCACTGCAAGCTCCGCCTCCCGGGTTCACGCCATTCTCCTGCCTCAGCCTCCCGAGTAGCTGGGACTACAGGCGCCCGCCACCGCGCCCGGCTGATTTTTGTATTTTTAGTAGAAACGGGGTTTCACCGTGTTAGTCAGGATGGTCTCAATCTCCGGTCAGGCTGGTCTTGTACTCCTGACCTCGTGATCCGCTCTCCTCAGCCTCCCAAAGTGCTGGGATTACAGGCGTGAGCCACCATGCCCAGCCTTTTTGTTTGTTTTTTGTTTTTTTGGTGAGACGGTCTCACTATGTAACCAGGGCTGGTCTCAAACTCCTGGCCTCCAGTAGTCCTCCCACCTTGGCCCCACAAAGCACTAGGTTTACAGGCATGAGACACCATGCCAAGCCCCCTGCTGTTTTATGTCACCTCTTTTTCTATAATACTATTTATTGGAAAATTGAATCTCTTGGGGTGGTTCTCTGATTTTCTCACCACTTTTTTCTTTTCATTTTTCATCGCTTTCTGGGAGATTGCCTCTACTTTATCCCCTAAGTAGCTGGGATTGCAGGTGTGCACCACCATGCCGAGCTAATTTTTGTATTTTTAGTAGAGACGGGGTTTCACCGTGTTAGCCAGGATGGTCTCGATCTGCTCAGGTATGCACCACCACACAAGCTAATTTTTTGTGTATGTGAGGCGGAGTCTCGCTCTGTCACCCAGGCTGAAGTGCAGTGGCGCAATCTCCACTCACTGCAAGCTCCGCCTCCCAGGTTCACGCCATTCTCCTGCCTCAGCCTCCCGAGTAGCTGAAACTACAGGGGCCCGCCACCTCGCCCGGCTGGTTTTTTTTTTTTGTATTTTTTAGTAGAGACGGGGTTTCACCGTGTTAGCCAGGATGGTCTCGATCTCCTGACCTCGTGATCCACCCGTCTCGGCCTCCCAAAGTGCTGGGATTACAGGCTTGAGCCACCGCACCCGGCTCCTCGTATATTTTTATCCCACCTTTCTTATTTGTTTTAATGCTTAACTGTCTTTCCCATTTTTACAGCATCTTGTTCTTGTTTCATGGTTGCAAAATCTTCCCTTATCTCTCTGAGGATATTAATTATCATTATTTTGAGGTACCATCCCACTTTTCTCTAGGTTCATTTTTCTTTTTGTTATTTATTTGCTCTTGTGTTGGAGACTTTCCTTAGATGACTGATGAATCTTAGCTATCCATTCTTATTGAAGAATGTATCAACTGAAACATTGATGAGTGGGGTTTGTCGATTAGTGTATTCATGGTAGGGTGATAGGATAACAAGATGGATTTTTTACTATGGAACTCCCAAATGTCACTCTCTGATGGTATTTCTTTTAGGCCATTACATTTTTCCGAAGAGGCATTCAGTAGTCTCCTGCCTGCAATATATAAGCATGGAATAGGGGCAGGAAATGGAGACAAGCCTCTGCCTCTGCCCTTTCTCCCCTGGCCCAGCCTTGATCCTCTTGATCTCTTAAGAGAATAGATCTCCAGTTGGCTGGCAGGACAGGCAAGGTGAAAGGAAGCAGTAATGGGATAGTTGCTTGGCTACCAGGGTAGGAGATACCACCTAGTAGGGGATGGGGGTAGCTAATCATTCTAAATATAAACTTTCAGCCAATCTCTTTCTTTTTAACCCTTCACTCTCTGTAGTACTTTGTGCCTCCAAATACTGGACCTTCTCAGAGTTCAGTGAGTCAAAGACTCACTTATTGTTAGTTTCTACCCTTTCTGAAACCCAGATGCTAGCTTTCCCTCTGTGCCAAGTCACTTTTCTCCAGCTCCAGCCACTTTCCATTTTCCAAAAAGTTGTTGAAATCTCTCCATTACTGTTGTTCTTTCTCCTGGTTTCTTGGGTTTTATATAGATCCTGCTCAACAGGTCCTTTTCAATGCCCTGTATTTTCAGTTTACTGGCATTTTGAGGTTCATTTGCCATGTTTAACCAGGAGAATCATTCTTAAAGTAATTTTTGATACTTTAAGGAATTGAAAATATGCTCTAGTTGCTTCCCTTAAAAGCCACATTTTTTTTAGGGGAGTGTGATTCTTCAGACTATGTATTTAAAATTGCTACATTTCATATAAAGAAATGACATTGCTTATCAACTGTCAAAGTCACACAGTTTTGGAATTGATTTCCAGAAATGCTTAGTGGCTTGGCTGGATTCTTCCTACCCAGCCTCCCTGAGGGTAAACAGCAGCATTCATAAGGCAGTTAACTAAATGTAAGAATTTTCAATACTGTGGATTTGAATTTCTCCATAAAGTCATCTTACCTCTATGGAAATTGACCCCATAAAATTGGCCTCTTCACTGGCACCCTACCACAGCCAGCTAAAGTAACTAGTCTCCAAAACCAAAGATTATTTTGCATTTCCTTTAGGATGATGTAAGAATTTGAACCTGTCATTTACCTGAAGCAATATCATGGCTAAAGCAGTTCATCGAGCATGTTTCTTTTTCCTTTGCATGATTCAGAATTACATTTTTGTTTTTTCTCCCAGAATTAAAGAGTCCATATTCTTAAAATTGAGCTTATTTCTAGATTTATGTCATGTTTTAGTTCATTGGCTTTGTAAACCTAGCACAAATACAACCAGTACACTAAACTGGGTTCCTCAAGAACACCTCCATACGCTAAATAAGATGATGAAACAGGTTTCTGAATACGCTTCCCAAAAACCTTGATACTGGTGGAGATAATACAGTATAGTTTAAGGGATCTGCTAATCATATCCCGGCCTTTGCCTTAGGAACATGAGCTGAGCACTGGCCTGGTTTGTAATTGTACTCTTATGGCCATCTGGCAGCTTCTGTGACGTATTAGTGGCCTTGGCACAGTTTCTAATTGGCATGTACCAGCATCAAATTGGCATGTATCAACATCCACAAGACAGTTTAACTTTCTAAATAAAAGAAGCCATATCTCTCTTTTCTTTAGCTATGATGCAATTGCTCTTTGCAGGTTTTTTTGTTTTATCTGAAAGGAAACTAAAATTTCAAGATTTCCCATGTCACTTTAATCCTGAACTTTTTAAATCTATTTCTGTAATAACTAAAAGCGAATCTTGAAACTGCTGGTCTTTGGCCCCATGTCTTGAAGAAATTATGTAGTATTATATCTTTCTCTCTGACTTCAGGCCATAGACATTCTCAATCTGCAGGCTGTCTGCAAGCTTTCATAGAAAGATTCATCTGTAATCATTTTAACAGAGCCAGTGGAGACAGGATTGCTTCAGTTAGTAGCTTATCAGTTTAAACTGCATATTCTGTGGTTGGAATGGAAAGTTAATCAAGGAAAACTCAGAATAAGTTTTCACTTACATTTTATATCTTACTTGGCAACTTGTTTGACAATGTTGCATAAAAGGTCCAGCACAGGAAACATTTTATACTCCTGCTTATGATTAATAAATATGGAATCTGGGGCATTCTCTTTTATAAATCAAGGTCTTAGTCCAAATTTCCTGTTTTTCTACATTAGAAAAAAACCCTCAGGGTAAAAATAGCACTAAACTGTATCGGGTACTCAGGGGTCAAGGCAACAGGCAGAACAGATTACTCTAGATTCTGTGGTGCTGAGACTGCTATCAGGCTAGTAGCAAAGACATTCATTTTGTAGTCATTATAGTAAAGGCATTTGATGCAGCTGGTTTATAAAAACGTAAGTTAATATATCCCACTTTGGATTTTCTATGCTTATTGAAAAGAGGAAAGGAATGAATAATACAAACCAATAAACCAGTGACTTGGAAATGTAGGCTCACACACAGCTAGTTCATGGAAAACCCTAGTCACTCTAGTCAAAGACTGTCTTACCACATCTTAATTTTAATCACATCGATTTCTGCTGTATTATACAAGCTCAGTCACTGTCTTCAATCTCCAATACCCTGCACTTCCACACCAAGCACACATATATACTCACTCACACATATATCTTTGTTCAAAGATTTTCCAGACTTAAGTCATCTGCACTTTGACTTTCTCAAATTCTCTCATCCCAGCCGCTGCATAGTAACCTACAGTAGATCTTCCAGCATCTCTCTTTCTGTAGAATATTACCAAGATACTCTGAAGAATACATGCATGGCAGAAAGTACTTTGGGGTTCATACCACTAATTGACACTTTATCATGAAAAGATTAAAATGTTCTCATTTGTATTTCTTAATAGCCTAAAGAATGTTTTTTGATACAACCAAAGGAAAGAAAAGAGAATACCACCAAGACCAGGAAGAGGAGAAAGGTAATATTAATAATTTCTTAAATTTGTATGGCCCCACATGGTTTCCATCACATTTTTATATGTCATACTTCCATGAGGCAACTATTGTAATCCCCACCTAAGAGATGCAGACATTGTAAGATTCCTTGAGGTTTGGTGACTTTCCGAAGGTCACTACTAATAAGTGTTTCTGTTGGAGCTAAGAATAAATTCTTCTGACTCCTATTTCGGTCTTGTGGAGTGCCAAGTATCTTTGTTACCCACCCTATGTTTTCAGTGTGGTCAGATGTCAGACATAGGTTTCTAATTCTAGAAGGAGTCCAGAGCTATCCTCCCCCAGCCCTTCTGGCTCTGTCCATGAAAAAAATATACCAACCTCCTTTTTCTACTCATTCCAGATTTGAAGACCTTATACCTTAAAGTATGACTAAAAAGAAAATAATAAGCAGATGAAGGTAGTATGAGGCACTTCTGACTAATTTGGAACCATAAATTAAGTCAAAAAAGCTCCCCTCCTCTTGCATTTTGATATTTGCCAGTGAGCATAGGAAAAACTTTCTCCTATACAAACTTTTTTATGGCTCAGCCTTGGAGAAAGTATGGTTAGCTATGACCTTCTCCCACAGTTGTGAAAACAGCGGTGTAATTCTCTCCCTGCCAAGAGGGGTCTACTCGTGAAGTCAGCCGAGGAAATACGATTGGGATTAGAGGAAAGAAGATGGACTCAAACCAATTACTTAACAGCAAGCTTTTAGAAAACTAAGAGTGTGTGTGCATATGTTTTCTTTTCTTACAAATGGTCAAATAGCAAGATGGGAGATGCCAAATTGGCTGAGGTTTGGCAAGTCCTTAAAGAAGTGACTTTAACTTCTCTTTGATAATTTGTACACTAATGGCCTTCAGGAGTGTTAAGTTCTTGGTGGCTCAAGGTCAAAACTCTAGCTAGATAGTTTATCCTTGACTGAGGTCACGCTAAAATGTGCCCACTGATGACATATTTTTAAAAGTTAATTCCTTTGACAGAGCCTTGACCATTCTTGACAAGTGTATAGAAACAAGGATATTGTAGAAGGAGGGGAAAAAGTTGGGATCAGGGGTGGGGAACGCTCCTTCTGGATCTTTGATGGAACATTAGAAGAAAGTGAGAAGGGAAGCTTATGATGGAAATAAATGAATGATTGTGGGTTTCTACTACACTGCAGGCATTCAATACATGCTACACAAATGAATCCAAATCAAAATCGATGTTGGAAAGTATTTCCTGTAATATTTTTTTCTACTTTCCATAGGGCCACTTTAATATTGTCAGCTATCCAAGACCTGAGAATCAAGGGTGTTAAGTCCCCTCCTCAGTAGGCTCCTATGCTCAGATTCCTACTGTAGATTTTACACTAATGCCAGAAATCCAAACTAAGACTCAGCACCTCACAAAGCAGGTTAGGCAAGAAATTCTTAAAATTCTAATCCTACAGGAATATAAATCATCTAGGGCTAAAAGAGAGCTTTCCATAGCAATGAGATTTCTTTACTTTTAACAGAAAATAATACCCTAGTATGGAGACGCCTGCAAAAACGTAGTTCTCCTGGAAGTCATAGACCAAGAGTTGCAGGAAGCTTTCTAGATCATTTTTTTCATTTTTCAAAACAATAGTTATATCCAAGAAGTATTTAGTGAATTTTCTCAAATGTATTTATTAACACCCACATTCACACTTGGCTAACATCAAAAGCTATGTGCAGTTTAAATGCCAGAGGAATTAACCTATTCCAACCAAATGTCATTTTAAAGTATGTCCTCCCATTTTTCTTCCTTCTCATATCTTAGAAGAAAATTACTGATGTTCTTGCAAAATCAGAACCAAAACCAGGGTTACCTGAAGACCTACAGAAGCTGATGAAGGACTATTATAGCAGCAGACGCTCGGTGATTGAATTAGAAGAACTGAACCTGCCAGGTATAGCCAAGCTTCAATTTTCCTAATGACAAGGAGCAAAACATAACTGTCTATTATGGTTAGGTGTCTCAGGCAGTCAATTAACATATTTTCCGGTGGGTGTGGTGGCTCATGCCTGTAATCCCGGCACTTTGGGAGGCCGAGGCTAGAGGATCGCTTGAGCCTGGGTGTTTGAAACCAGCCTGGGCAATATAGTGAGAAGTCATCGCTATTAAAAATAATAATAATAATAATTGTTTAAAGAGACATATTTTCAGGCTGGGCATAGTGGCTCACGCCTATAATCTGAGCACTCTGGGAGGCTGAGGCGGGTGGATCACTTGAGGTCAAGAGTTCAAGACCAGCCTGGCCAACATAGTGAAACCCATCTCTACTTAAAATACAAAAATTAGCTGGGCGTGGTAGCACACACCTGTAATCCCACCTACTTGGGAGGCTGACGCAGAAGAATCACTTGAACCCGGGAGGCCGAGGTTACAGTGAGCCAACATCGCACCATTGCACTCCAGCCTGGGGAACAGAGTGAGACTCCATCTCAAAAAAAAAAAAAGGAAACATAATACTTCTTTCCTCAATCTAATAGTTTTAACTGATAGATTATATCAAATAGTTTTAGCTGATAGATTATATCCTTACTGGATGCTAAACAGTATTTTTCAAATCTAATACTAAGATTTGTGATAGTATTTTTTTTTTCAAAAGGCTAATTGTTGGGTGTGCATTTTTTTTAACAGACTATTCAACGAGTAGGAATTCGTCATGAGGATAGAAGTTAAAGTACACATTTAAAAGTATAGTTGTGAAACACTGATTTACTCAACTCTTATAGACAAGAGCTTTAGCCTTAATAAGTAATTTAGTTTTGTTGTTGCTCTTATCATGGATTTCTAGTCATGGTTTTTAGAATAGTATTTTGGGTTGCAGGCCAGACTCTTTCAAGCAAACTATCAAAAGGTAGGAACAAAATTCTGCATGTTTTGCAAGGCTGACACTTTGCCTCAAGGGATTCTTCAGCCTACTAGAGTTTTAGATCCTCTGCCTTGGTGTATTTATAATTAAGCTAAAAGATACTGCAAGATGTAAACAGCTAATTTTAAAAAAATATGTATTTATTTTAGAGACAGTGTCTTGTAGTCTCGTCCAGGTTGGAGTGCAGTGGCACCCTCGTAGTTCACTGCAGCCTCGAACTCCTGGGCTTAAGTGGATCCTCTCACCTCAGCCTCCTGAGTAGCTGGGAATATAGCCATGTGCCACCACACCCAGCGTAAACAACTACTTTTAATTAATTTCAAAATTATGATGCATCCTTTAACTCTTTTAGGCAGGCATGGGAGAAATAGATGTTGTCATAAAATCAAACCATAAAAAGTTTGGGTACAACTGCTTCAGATGAGCTATTTATAGACTACTAGGGATATCTAATATTGCTTTTGGAAAAAGTAGAGGGTGGCTTGATTTCCTTTTTCCATTACAATTTTATGCTTTCTAGAAGCTTGAGAAGCTGAAAAACAATCTGTTCCCTGAATTTTTATAATTCTTTTGTGATATCCTTTTTTAAAAACACACATTGGGTCTGGAGACATGAGTGCCCTGTCTGTTTGTTTTCCAAGGAGATTACCCTTTAGGGAATTGAAGGAGTGCATTTGCACATGAGCAGGATCTGGACTTTTAGACGTACTAAGCCCAGACAGTTCCAACAGCAGTTAGAATCCACTCTTCTCAGCACACCACTGCCTCTGCTGTGAAAACTCTGTCCTGACTGCACTGTCACAGGAACTATTCTAACAAAACCACTTTTGAAGCTTTAACTGAAGTTTGATTTTTACTGTGACTCAATGGTCAGTTTTCCATTCTAGTTCTTTGTTAGAGCAACTGAACTTACGAAGGATTTGAGAGCAGTGGGACCACTGCTGTTCTGTAACCTCATGGAACATCATAAACCTTGCTCCTCTCTAGAGTTATAGGGAGTCAAAGCTCAGAAGAAACTTTTAAGGAGTCATTTGAGTTCCATAGTGAATTTGTTTGATATTATTGTTTTATTAGAGTTCAGTAATATAGTTAGGCAAGAATGTGTGGTCATGGGTTGGTTGGGGAGGAAAGAAAATATGTTTGAAATAATGTTATAACCAAAAAGGACAGGTTTTTATTTTCAGTTTTAAGAATTAGGCCATTTAAGACACAATAAACTGAGACATCAGAGGAAGGTTTGGGAGAACAGGCACTGGTCACTACACTGATGAGACCAAGAACAGAGAGGAGATTTAAGCTAGATGTGGGGAAGGAGATACAGTGGGTTATTTAGAAGAGGCTCAAGGAGGGACATAAATACCCTTATATATACACATATAAAGTAGATATAAATAATGACATATTGTTCCTATTTAGTTTGTCGAGCTTCTAACTTGGTTTTGATTTGAGGTTGTTTGTGTCTGTAGGGCACGAACATGTCTTTTCAATTAATATTGTGCACTGTACATTGTTAATGTCACACACACGGGCACTGAATTAGGATTTCAAGGCTGGAGTCACCCGGAGCTAATTAACCTCTCTGCTGTCTCCTGAGAGCTGCAGTGTGGTTTAGATTAGTGATTCCTAAATGCCTATAGGCTAGCTGCAACTGAATCACCCAGGAACTTAAACATCAGATCCCCAGGCCCATCCTCAAGAGATTCTAATTCACTATGCAAAAGAGACTCCATCCCAGGAATCTATCTTCAGTTCTCCAGGTGAGTCTGATCATATCCAGACTTGGGACATTATAAAGACCACCAAAGGCTCCACAACAATACAGGAGAAAACAGCTTTGAATTACTCACTTAATGAGTTATATGTGCTGGGTCACAACATAAATTTCATTTTGGTCAGTCCAGCCCCTGTTTTATTTTAATGTGTTATATTGTTTTTTATTGTATTGTTATGTCGTGTTGTATTTTGAGACATTATTACCATTCCTCCCTAATCCAAACTCTATTTTCATATGATAGGCATTTTAAAATATATATATATATATATTCTTATAAAATATGTCATCCTGTGTATGTATATACATATTAAAGTGTATCTAAAATGGCTCTGTGCTAATGCTTTCATTCTGTTTCTTTCTTCATTTGACACTTTTTCCAGATAGGACTCTGTAGTTTTATGCATGTCTAGTTCATTGCTTCTAAATGCAACATAATATTCCAGCGTTTCCATCTGTCACATATACTCATCCATTTTCCCAGGTATGGACACTTAGGTTGCCTCAAGCACCCTGGTATCACAAATAATGCCAAGATGCATATCCTTGTGTGTGTACCTTAATAGACCACGCAAGAATTTCTTTGAGTTATTTACTTTGAGTTAAAGTGATAGAATTATAGGGTATATACATATTAGCATTATTACTTTCCAGAATATCTATACCAGTTTACACTTCCACTTACAGTTCACAAGAGTTTCCATCACTTTGCATTCTCAACAACACTTGGTATTATACATCTTGCTAATAGTTGCCATTCTAATGAGTGTGTAAAGTGTGATCTCATTATATTAACATGCACTTCTCTGAGTTTGAACATCTTTACATAGATTTGTTAGCCACTTCATTTTGCATTTGTGTAGTCCCCATTTTATGGATTTGGAAAATAAAGGTGCTTCATTAATCTGCTGAGTGATATAAGAAGCTCCTATTTCACTGCTCTAAGAAATTACGGGCAGCTCTGTGACAGGTTAAAGGTTTACTTGTTGCTGCTGCTGTTATTTTAAATATAGGCAACACTTTAAGATATATAATGGGCCCCAATTCACTAATATTTTACAACCTTATACATCACTCATAACTCACATATAATCTATTTTGATTGTGTGTGTGCATTTACAAAATTCTCTGTATACCATGTTTATCATATTTCTAGACTCCTGTTTCCTCAAGGCCAATGATTTGACTCACAGTCTTTCCTCATACCTAAAAGAAAGTGAGTAAACTCTGATTTTAATCTATTTAAATTTATCCTTATTTTGCTCTGGCTTTGGAAATTTAGGTTTTGGTCTCGTTTTTGTTTTATAACACATTAGGCCATTGTTGCTCCAGGAATCCAAAGAATGGTGTTCTAGTCCCAGGTCCCCCACCAATTTGCTGTTTGACCTGAGATGAGTCACTGAGTACTCCCCTGGACTTAATTTGTTATCTGAAAAATAGGGAAGATGGACTATGTGATATGTGTTCCATCTGTGAGATTCTGAAATTCTATTTGCATGTTTAGAACTCAGACCATGGCTATAGTGAAGCCAATCTAATTCTATCTTTTCAAAATGTATTTTTTGGGAGACTGGAGAAGGACAGGATCTCACTCTATCTCCCAGGCTGGAGTGCAGTGGTCTGGTCATAGCTCAGTGGAGCCTCAACCTCCTGGGTTCTGACGATCCTCCTGTCTCAGCCTCCCAAGTAGCTGGGACTACAGTTGTATGTCACCACAAGCAGCTAATTTTTTTTTTTTTTTTTTTTTTTTTTTTTTTTTTTGATTATTTTTGGTAGAGACAGAGTCTTCCTATGTTGCCCAGGCTGGTCTCAAACTCCTGGGCTCAAGAGATCCTTCCCCCTCTGCCTCCCAAAGTGCTGAGATTACAGGCGTGAGCTACTGTGTCTGGCCCTTCAATATGTATTATATGTAGCCAGCAATAACTAAATTATTCATATCAACTGGTCATTTATTTATGGCCAGCAATGAAACAGTTTAGATATAGAGAGTTTCCATTCTTCTTTCAAACTACAAGCAATTCTGATGACACTAAACTTGAGTTCATAAACCTTTCTTAGCGTCAAATTCAGAAAATGTAAATCTAGGTAATCATAGAATCAACCTCACTAGATTATGAGAACTAAAAAGAAAATCTATGTAAAGTGCTTAGCACCATGTCAGTATTTAGTAAATGTTTGCTGTTTTTAAATGTTTGTTCCATTTTATATCTTATGTTGAATTTCCCTTTAAAATTTAACATGACTGAATCAGAATTCATTTCCTATTTAATCAACATTGTGAAGTATCAAACATAAATTAAAATATCAAAAATGTAATATTCCAAATTTTTTTACTTAATTTTAAAATTAGTCACATTTAGGGACTTGGCATGTTTGTTTTGTGTTATAAATTAATACTTCATTTTAATCTAATATTTACAATAACCAGAAAATTGAATTATAATTGTAATTATAATGAACCATGCTCACTGTATTTTATTTTGCTTAAACACTCAACAAAGAAGAAATACTCAACTTGGGAGGTGGGCCCTGTTTTGCCATTTTTCAAATAATTGTTTTGTGGTCTTTTTTCCAGTCTGTCCTAAGTGGGTAAAACTTAGGAAAAACCACAGTGAGAAGAAATCGGTCCTGATGCTGATCGTCTGCAGCTCAGCCATCCGAGCCCTGGAGCTCATTAGGTTGGAAGGTTCACCTATTCCATATCATAAATGTTTTCTGAATAACTGATATATGCCAAACTATTATGTTCTATGTGCTGGAGACGTAGCAATAAACAAAACAGAGTCCCTGCCCTCATGGAATTTATATTTCAGTGGGGGAGACAGATAATAAACAAATGAAGATACATCATAACATCAGGTACACTGATATGTAAGGAAAAAATCAAGCATGGCAAAGGGATATAAGTAGATCAGGACTACTTTTAAAAGGGTGGTCACAGAAAGCTTCTCTAAGGAGATGACAATTTGATCAGAGACTTGAACAAAGTGAAGAAGAAAGCCCAGCAGCTATCGGAAGAAAAGCATTCCAGGTAGAGGGGAGAGTAGGCACAAAAGACCCCAAAGATAGGATGCCATTGTAGGATTTTGAGGAGTTACTTGATCTGAATCATCATTTTAAAGGTTCCCTTTGGCTGCTGTGTGGAGAGCACACATTATAGAGAGCACGGGTAAAAGCAAGGAGATCATACCCCAAACAACCAGTTAGAAGAAAATATCTGACTTAAAATAGTAACAAGAAAAGACAGAAGCCAGGCACAGCAGCTCATGCCTATAATCCTGTCACTTTGGGAGGCTGAGATGGGAGGACTCCTTGAGCCCTGGAGTTTGAGACCAGCCTGGGCAACATAATAAGACCCCATCTCCATTATAAATTTAAAAAAAAAGAAGAAGAAAAGAAAAGAAAGAAAGAAAAGAAAAGATAGAATACCACGGAATACACTTATCAAAACTTATGTACAGACAGTATCATCTAAGGGATGCAGAAAACTTGAACAAACAAAAATGTATACCATATTCTTGAATAGGAAAACTCAATATTGTAAGCATGTCTGTTTTACTTAGGATAGCCTACAGATTTCACACATTCCTAGTTAAACTCCAATAGAGTTGTTTTTTTTTTTTTTTTTAACTGGTTAAACGAGTTCTGAATTCTTATGGGATAATATACAACTAAAAATAGGCAAAGAAATTCTGAAAAATAATACTAATGAGAGGATTATATCACTAGAGATTACAAATTATATATACATATATATATACACACACACTCTCTGAAGTCTCAATAATTAACAGTATGGAACTGGCACATGCATGACAGATCAGACGAGTGGAATAGAATTGAAAGTTCAGGAACAGACCCAAATGCATATGAAAATGTAGCACATGCCTAAGGTGACAAATCAGAAATCAGTAGGGAAAGATGGATTGTTTAATAAACGGTGTTGAACAACTAAGTAGCCATCTGGAAAAGCAAAGTTGGATTCATATCTCACTGCTTATAACAAGATAAATTCCAAATGGAACAAAAATTTAAAGGTAAAGATTATGTTTTAGGCCGGGCGCGGTGGCTCACGCCTGTAATCCCAGCACTTTGGGAGACCAAGGCAGGCGGATCATGAGGTCAGGAGATCGAGACCATCCTGGCTAACACTGTGAAACCCCATCTCTACTAAAAATACAAAAAAAAATGCTGGGCGCGGTGGCAGGCGCCTGTAGTCCCAGCTACTCGGGAGTCTGAGGCAGGAGAATGGCGTGAACCCGGGAGGCGGAGCTTGCAGTGAGCTGAGATCGCACCACTCCAGCCTGGGTGACAGAGCGAGCCTCCCTCTCAAAAAAAACAAAAGATTATGTTTTAAAGATAATTTGTCAGTGCTTTACTAAGTGCTTTCACGTACCTTTTCATTCACTGTAGTTTTTGTAGAATAAACAAAAAGGCTTCCACTGGTCAGTGGTAACATTCAGCTTTCAGAGAAGAGCCCCGAGAGTCAGGCGGGATTTGCTAGGACCAGCTCTCTCTGAGCGCCTGGCTCTGGGCCAGGCTTTGACAAGAGACAAAACAAAGGAAAATCCAAGTCATGAAGGAAGAGGAACTTGGTCAAATAGACTAAGGTGCAAATCTAGACACTCAGTAGTTATTTACATCTGTTTTTTCTCAATGAACTAGTGTAATCACGAATTTAGAAAAGTAATTGTTAAACTTTAATAGTCCTTCAAACCCTCCTTTCTCCACTGAAGTGGAGACACACATTAAATTGTATCACATTGTGCACATACATTAACTTGTAGCATATAATCTCCCAGTGAAACACTTGTGTTTCTTTCCATTTTTTCTGCTCTAGACATAATTGATCTTGAAGATTCCAGCTGCTTCCAGGCAGCTGTATTACCAGTCCTAAAATCATGGGAATTCACATTGACTTTTCAGTGCTTTAAAAACTACCTCATTTCAGCTTCAGATGCTAAGGGCAAAGAGTTTGGCCTGGAGGTGGACTCTTAAAATAAAGCTATCAAATTGATTTGAGCTTTTGTTGTACATAAAGTCCTTACTGAGGACATAAAAGTACTATGTTGTCACACTTCATTTACCAATTTGCAATATTTTTTTGTGTCCCCAGTAATACTATGATCCATTTCAAGGTTAGGTGATTTGCAGAAGGTGATTTCTGAGTAGGCACAACAAGCCCTATTCATAAAGACTAACATTTAAGAATTCGAACTTTTGTGAGAACATCTGTTCTACTGAGAGCCATGACTTACTTTAAATTGTCTTCCTGGTTAACCTTGCCATGGAGAAAGCTTATGTGTAAGTAAAAACTTGAGGCAACAGAACTTGTAGAGCATGATTCACTATTTTGCAAACTCATATGTTTTTACTGGTCAATATTTCTCAAAATATAATAACGATATGTGAAGGCAACTAGTAAACCCATGTTAGGTCATCCTCAAATATAGGTGATATATAGAAATACGTTCAACAAATGAAAAACAGGTTGTGAAAATAGAAGCAAGGAAAAAGTAAAGAACAGAAAATTAGGTGAGGCCAGCTAGAAATGGTGCTCAAACTCACGTCCATAAAGCCCTGTTCATTTGCAACAGTGGCCCCAGCTGGGGGCCTGCACTTTCCAACAGCCAGGATCTGTTGGGAAATACTATCAGTTGTCAGACTGATGGCATTCTGTGGGTTTAAGAAGAAAAAAAAAAGTTCCCTGAGAAATACAGTTTTTCCCTCTGTGACATAGTGATAGCAGCATTCTCAGTGTCATCTGTACAACAAGAATCCTGGACAGATAATGTTATGTGGCTGTTTATAGAACAGCTGTTGGTGCCAGCCGAGGACCTGATGCCACAGTAGAGGTAGAAAGGCAGGCATGTCAGGTGCCACCAGCGTCGTCTCCACCCTCAGAGCTGGTGGTCTGGATTGATGTGGATAGATCTAGCTTCTTGACTACCTAGAAACTAAGTGGACTGCCTGTCCTGCTGGTGTAAGCCAGAGACTATAAAGCGACAACTCAAAGGCTAAGTTTACCCCACAAGTATTTGGCACCTAAAAAATTTTTGAATGACTTCCCCATATTTAAAATCAGATTGCACATATAAAAATCTAAATTTCTGGCTTCTCTAAAAATCAGAGGATCTTAGGCCCATAATCTCACATCCTCATAACTGGCAGAGCTGAGCACTAGTTGACCCCTGTACGGGGGGCATCACTCTTGAGTGCCCCTCAGTCCTCACACCCACCTCCCAGGTCACCGCATTTATAATAACCCCCGCCCTCATAGCTTTAATTCCGCCAGTCCTTTGTGTCAGTGGTTTCTTCTTACTTTTTTTCCTTCCTTCTTTGCTTCCTCTTTCCCTTCTTTCCTTCCTTCTTTTCTTTCTTTTGGCTGAAGCTCCATTTCCACCTATAAAATTTTATAGAGAAGTTTAGTCTACAAAGTAGATAAGAAAGGACAGCTCTGACAGAAGGATAGAAACCCGCCTTCTTCCCCCTTTCCATCTCATCCCCCGGCTTCCCTCATGGCCACCACAGGCAGACCTTTGTAGATGCCCTTGGCTCCACAGAGAATGGGCTGACATCACCGCTCTAAGATATCTCTTGCAACCAAATTTTGTATGAGAACTGCACTGCACAGTTGGAAGATAATTTTCTGCCAGGGACCTGAAATACTGGAATTCTGTATTACAAGTGAAAGGCAGATCATGTGTTTCAGTAATCAAGGAAACCTAAGTAAGGTTGACCTTGTGTATGGCAGTGTGAAGCCAACACAGATAAGTACCTGAATAAAAGGCTACCCAACTCTCATTGCAAATACTGGCTAACCTGCAAATCTCAGAATTTGTGTGTACATATGTGCATATATACACACATATGCACACATCCTTTGAATAAAGCAAGACATAATACTTAAGTAGTCATCGTGGCCTAGAATGAGTTGGTTTTCTTAAGCATTCACCTACTTCTTTTCATTAGGTCGATGACAGCATTCAGAGGAGACAGCAAAGTTATAAAATTATTTGCAAAGCACATAAAGGTAAGCAAGGGCCTGTGATCCCTAAAGGCCTCTCCTAGACCTCAGCTTTTTCCTTTCAACCTCTTCTCCTAATCTCCTTAGCAAGTATTTTATTGAGTTCCTTCCTTATGTAACATTTAACCACTTTTCTAGTTTTTTAAATTCTATGCCTCCACATATCTACCTCCCCCCTACAGCAGTTGCTTCTGCCATGCTCCGTCCCTGAGGCTTGACCCTTTGATTCCTTGAAGATTTAACTTTGAGATAAAGTTAAGAAATTGGTGTAAAATTGCACTTTCTTAATGACTTCCTTTTCTTCTCTTTCCTCTTGGAACAGGTCCAGGAGCAGGTAAAGCTGCTGGAGAAGCGTGTGGTGCACCTGGGTGTAGGAACTCCAGGGAGAATTAAAGAACTTGTTAAACAAGGTATGACAAGAGGGCAGTGATACTCTTGCCCAGGGCTGGGAGTTTGCCTTACCCACATGTGAGTCTCAGAAACTAAATTCAGGATATACAGAAACCAGACCTCTGTGTTAATTCAGGAAGTGGAAACTCAGCCTTTAATCTCTGAAGCCAACCAGCAAGTATAGCACATTAGGGAATGATAAGGGCTGTGGCAAACTGAAGTACATGTGCCCACCTAAACAGAGTCCAATTCCAGCTGCTACAAGCAGGTTAGTGGGTCACATGGCCTTCATTCCACCAGTGCGCGGCCACTGCTTGAGTTGAGCATTCCCGCTCACTCCACAGAGTCTCGGGGAGACTCCCATTTTGAGGGCTGGTATATAAAACATACTAAAACAAAACGTAGTTTCCGTGAATGTAATGCGGGCATTCCATAATTGTTCTTCCCAAATGTGTTTCTCTTTGAGTGCTTTACAGAAAGTATTCTAGACAATATCCACTGGTGGGTTTTTCTAGTTTGCCGACTTTCTCAAAGCCAGTAACCTGAGAACCTGCTAACCTGCCAGTTATCTTATTACCTCTTCTACCTACCAGGCAGATTCAATGATTTCTTTTCAATACTTATTTCCAAATTACTTATGTATTATCTAATAGAGGTTTTTTTTAAATAACTGTCTGGAGCTATTCTCAGATTATTTTATATACCTAAAAGTAATGTGCTCATCAGTGTAGTAACTCATTATAGAGATGGTCATTTGCCAGGGAGCAACCAAAAGCTAAAACTACTATTGTTTCTCTCCAGATGAAAATCATCCAGGGTTACTTGAACCCACTATATGCAGAGTTTTGTACAAATACCAACAAGTAACAAATTTGGCTGCCCCTGACAAGGAAGGGAAACAACACTTTTGAGTTCCTACTTGTACGCAGTGCTATGCTTGACACCCTTACATATGTTATCTCATTTAGCACTCACAGCATCCTTACAGGCCAGCCATTTTATTTCTTATGAGAGAGAACTGAAGCTCAGAGGGTTATGTCGCCCTCCCCAAGGTCTATCACTCCCAGCTTTCCTGGTTCTACAGCCTTTTCTCCTCAGGGAGCTCCTGATCCAGCTGAAGAACCAAATGTACATAGACTGAGATCGATAGCATGAGGCAGTAAATGCCAAGAGCCAAATGAGCACTTCTAAGTGGTACAGGAGTTGAAATGAGAAAGAGATAGTTATGCTGGCCTGAATCTGCAAAGCAGGGTTTTTAACTGATCTTTGAAGTGTGGAGAGGATTGAAATAGGCCGGGAGGGTCAGGGGAAGCATCCATGAATGGGAGAACAGCCCAGTGAGATTCGCAGAAAGCAGGCACATACACATGGTATATCACAAGGAATTAGGAGGAGGCAAAACAGTGTTGCAGTTAAGAGCCCCTGTGATGGACTCAGACCTCCAGATTCAAATATTAGGTCTAGCAACTTACCAGCTCTGTGACCTTGGCAAGTTACTTAACCCTTCTCAGCGTGTTTCTTTGTACGAATGACCGGGATTGTAATAGTAGCTACTTTAAGGTTTGTTATAAAAACAAAATGCCAATAAAGAGCTCAGCGCGCTGTCACACCCTAAACACTTAGCAAATATTAGTTATTTATTAAAGAGACCAACTTTCTTGCTTGGAGACTTTGTGGGCTATAGTAGCAGTTGATGCAATTGGAAAGAAATTTGAGGAAAGCCCTTGAACAGTAAGCCGAGGAGTTTGGATTTTTGTCTTGTGGACATCCTATGGCATTTGAAAGTTAAGAGGCAATCAAGGCCTTCTAAGAGACACAGATTTGGGAGTGATTGACTGGGTATCAGGAGAAGCTAAGGATGGACTCTCAGGTTGGTTCCTGTCTCCCTAGCAGCTTTTAGCTAAAGATTCACCACCAGTCCCTCCTGGCATCCAGATTTTTTTATGTGTCACCAGACTTCCCCAACCCCCACCCCATGCAACAGGATTACTCTTCTCTGTATTTAAAAGAAAGAGAGGAAGAGAAAAAGCAAAGCTATCCAGACTATTGAAATCAGATCTCTACAGAGTTGTGAGACCTCAATATGCAGGCTTATTTCAGGTGGAAAAATCATTTAAAGGGCGATGTATTTTTACAATATTAATGAAAATAATTTTTACTTCTGATTCTAATTGGATGAATGGTTTAATATTCATTAACCACAGGTCTTTGGCTACATACAAAGTGTTTAAAGAAAATAGTCCCAACACCCTAAAAATGGGAAATCTAACAGAGTGACACCAGTAGCACATATGTAGCTGTTTATGACTTAATAAGATGTTTATATGTTTATATATAAGGAGAGTTTTCAGACATTGAACAATATCCCATGACATTGGTATGTATACAATTACAGACAATTGTATTGTTTTAATTTAGTAATGAAAGGGATTTTCTAACTGTAGGAGCCTTTGGAAAATGCAAAAATGTACAGAGAAGAAAACAAGTCACTTTAGAGGCAATCTCTTGTTAATAATGAATATATTTCCTTTCAGTCTTTTTTCTATACATTTGTATGTTTATTTTTATACAGCAGAGATTGATTATACTGCATTTCATAACTTTATAACCTACCTTTTTCACTTGCTATATCTCATAAGGACTTACTTTCCTTGTCATGAAGCAAGTTTAATTTTTCATTTGTATAGCTACGCTATTTACAATATTCTATTGTAAATTTATTTTTTTGCAATTCTATTATGGTAGACTTTGGGTTGTTTCTAAATTTTTGCTATTATAAATAATATGGCAATGATCATTTTTGCAAGTAGCTATGTTTATGTTTCTGATGCTTCACTGGGATTGGTCATAGAAGGAAATTTATTTTATCAAATACAAGCATTTTGGCCAGGCACCGTGGTTCACGCCTATAATCCCGGCACTTTGGGATGCTGAGATGGGCAGATCACTTGAGGTCAGGAATTCGAGATCAAATAAAAGCATTTTGCAGCTGTTATATTATGCTCAGTTTCATTCCAGAGAGGCTGTACCTATTGCTTTCCTGCCAGCAGTTATATTAAGGGAAGACTGATGATCAACTCATTGTCTTTTCCAGTTCACCATTTTTATTTTAATTTTGCAGAATGTTTTTAATAACAGGCATTTGAATTATAAACAGCATGAACAAGTATTAGGGGCAAAGAGGAAAATATTTAAATACCATGAGGAAAAGCTGAGGGGAAGTGCCGCGGGAGAGGAAGGCTGTAGGTACTGTTAACACGAGAGACGTGGAACAGCTTGGAGCAGAGGCAAGAACTGACTGTATGCCCAACTGTGAGACATCTGAGGACCAGACAATCCCTGAGGTCCCCTTCAGCCCTCACAGTCCATAATTGTCTTGTAGACAGACAGGAAAACAGTGAATGGACTAATTAAGTGATTTACCAACCTCGTCAAAGGATAGCTGAATAGAGCCTATTCATCTCAACTTCCTTTTCTGCCTAAAATGAACCACCCAGCCCTGTCCTCATCTTTCTCCCCACTCACCTCCTCAGAGCCATGCAGACTCCGTGGACTCAACTCCTCTGAAAGGCAACTACCCAAAACTGCAGGATTTAGCTTAGCAAATGCCTGTCAGGAATGAGACTACAGCCTCTGGGTCTTCATGAAATGGAGGCTTGGCCAGCATGTGAGCATTTGAGGAGCTTAGCAAGAGCAGCTTGTCTGCTTTCCTCAGAAGCAGTGATGAGTGGATAAGAAGAGCACGTCTCAGAGTGCTGCGTTTGTTTCCATCAGGGAAGGGCAGCACTTAATGTGCAGAGATGAGTTACTGGGGGAGAGGACAACATATGGGACAAAAAGTAACCCGGAGAATAAAAAATCATTTTAATAAGCTTATGTCATGAGGTCTTTACTGCAGCAACTCTCTCCCTGTCTCTTTCAGGTGGCTTTAATTTGAACCCCTTAAAATTTCTGGTTTTTGACTGGAACTGGAGAGATCAGAAGTTGAGGAGAATGATGGACATTCCCGAGGTACCACGTAACCAGCAGTTGCTTTTAATCATTTTTTCTCTATTTGAACTTGAGTTTAAACACAGTAATAAAGTCTTTGACATGAGGAGCCAGCACATTTTAGATTTTGAAATGATTTCTATCTTTTCTAACTCTGAGCTAACTATAATTATAGAGGCCACCTCCTCCCCTTACACATAACTGTATCCTTTCCATGTGTTTCATGGGAATTGGCTCTGTTGCTCCTTAAATGACCAATGGCCTCTCCTCACTAGGGACCATTTTGAGAAACAAGAAGATCTGAAGGACCTGCACTTTTCCTGTGCCTTTCTTTGTAGACACACTCGTCTTTGTCTTTCATTCTTCTATGTGCACTTTTGGCTCGGGTTGGGGAAGCAGGGGTACAAACTTGCCTCTTTGCCAGCATCTCCACATCCCCAATAACCCACTTACTTAATTTAGAAAGATATTTTGATTTCATGGGGTGGGGAAATTTTTTGATGTCTCAGTGGATTACAATTGAATGATTGAATGCCTTTATGGGCACAGTATTAGCTCATTATATATTTTTAAAAGCAATCCATTATCATCATAATGTGAAAAATTGACCTTGCCACCTACCATGCTGTCATGGGGCTAATTTTTCAATATAGCCTGATGCTTCACAGTAGCTGTTAGAAAAAAAAAAAAAAAATGGTTACCAGTCACCAACCAAGAACAAATCATGGCAGTAACTATCAAAGAGGCTTGGAAATACTCTTCCAAACATGCTGAATGAATTAATTTATCACATAAAACTATATCTCCAGTTGACCAAACCTGATTATAATTCATCAGTGAGTTATTTCAGACATCAGTTCAGGTTAAAAAACAGTTTGCTCAGTTACACACACACACACACACACACACACACGCACACACACATACACAGTTGTGCATTTTGTCCCCTGAATTGACTGGTTTCTTAAAACTGGTTTAACAACTTTGATATCAGGCATGAGGCCACAGTTGATTATTTCAGTTATAATATTAAATCTGACTAATCTACTAAGTTTCTAATTCTAATAATGAGAAATATCCAAAAACATCTTTTCACCCATAGTTATTTTTATTCTGTTGCTGTCATTCTTAGCAGTTATCCTAAGGCAATAAAATCCTATACTGAACTATCGTATATAATATTGTTTACAGAAAGCACACTGTAGAGTCCTTGAAACACCTTTATATAGCATTTTATTTTGAATGGCTGCACTTTAATGAACCTAATGTTTTATATAGTACCTCTTCCTTCATTTATATAGTACCTCTTCTTTCATTTATATAAATATTTTAATTCTGCCAGGCATGGCGGCACACACCTGTAATCCTAGCCCTTTGGGAGGCTGAGGTGGGAGGATTACTTGAAGCCAGGAGTTCGAGACCAGCCTGGGCAACAAAGCAAGACCCTGTCTCTACAAAACAATAATAATAATAGGCCAGGCACAGTGACTCACACCAGTAATCCCAGTACTTTGGGAGGCCAAGGCAGGCAGATCACTTGAGGCCAAGAGCTCAAGACCAGACTGGCCAATATGGCAAAACCCTGTCTCTACTAAAAATACAAAAGTTAGCTAGGTATTGTGGCACATGCTTCTAATCCAAGCTACTCAGAAGGCTGAAGCATGAGAATCACTTGAACCCGGGAGGCAGAGATAGCAGTTAGCCAAGATCACGCCACTGCACTCCAGCATGGGCAACAGAATGGGACTCTGTCTCAAAATAATAATAATAATTTTTAAAATTTCAACTCGGAATCAAATGTATGTTAGGACTTTTGCCCTCTCTGATTCTGGCCATAACAGCTGGGTAAATACCAGGGAGTCCTGATGGTTGAATTTATTCACCAAGACCATTTTTGCTTGATCTTAATCTTTTTTTTTTTTTTTTCCTTTTCTCTCATTTAGATAAGAAAGGAGGTATTCGAACTTCTGGAAATGGGAGTGCTCAGTCTGTGCAAGTCAGAATCTTTAAAACTGGGCCTTTTCTAAGTCTGTGTCTTAATGAAGATTCCAGCCTTCACAGTAGAAGTTGCATCTTATTTAATGACTCTGATACATTGCAAGCACTCAGTAAATATCAGCAAATAGTTTATGTTAACTGTGTCAGCAGATAGATCGCTGGAATGTGGGGATTCTGAAACAGGAATGAATCTGTCCTTTTGACAACTCTCTTATATAATAAAGTATCACCGGCTTGTGTGTGATCCTTGTTGAGCAGACCGAGTTTTTCTGTCACCAACTGGCTTCTGATGTAACTGTTCAGGAGAAAGGAAAGAGCAGCTGGGTGACCTCAGGCAAGCCCCTTACCTCTCTGAGCCCCATCTCATCAGCTCAAAGTGGGAATGTCTCACAGCAGTGTTGAGGGTTCCAGAAGATGGTACATGGGGAGCAGATTTGTAAACTCTGAGGCATGGTCCCAGCAAAAAGGGTGGCAAGTATATTAGTCCATTCTCACATTGCTATAAATAACTACCTGAGACTGGGTAGATTATAAAGAAAAGAGGTTTGACTCACAGTTTCACAGGCTGTATAGGAGGCATGGCTGAGAGGCCTCAAGAAACTTACAATCACAGCAGAAGGTGAAGGGGAAACAAGCACATCTTCACATGGTGACAAGAGAGCAAGAGAGTGAAGGGGGAAATGCTACACACTTTTAAACGACTAGATCTTGTGAGAACTCACTCCGTATCATGAGAACAGCTTAAGAGCAAGGGGGAAATCTGCCCCCATGATCCAATCACCTTCCACCAGGTCCCTCCCCCAACAATGGGAATTATAATTCAACATAAGATTTGGGTGGAGACACAAAGTCAAACCATATCATTCCACCCTGGCCTCTTCCAAATTTCATTTCCTTCTCACATTTCAAAACACAATCATGCCTTCCCAACAGTCCCCCAAAGTCTTAACTCATTCCAGCATTAAGTCAAAAGTCCAACTCCAAAGTCTGATCTGAGACAAGGCAAGTTCCTTCCACCTATGAGCCTGTAAAATAAAAAACAAGTTAGTTACTTCCAAGATACAATGGAGGTACAGGCATTGGGTAAATGCTCCCCTTCCAAGTGGGAGAAACTGGTCCAAACAAAGGAGCTAAAGGCCCCATGCAAGTCCAAAACCCAGCAGGGCACTCATTGAATCTTAAAGCTCCAAAATAATCTTTGACTCCATGTCTCATATCCAGGCCACGCTGATGCAAGGAATGGGCTCCCAAGGCCTTAGGCAGCTCTGCCCCTGTGGCTCTGCAGGGTACAGTCCCCATGGTTGCTTTCACAGGCTAGTGTTGAGTGCCTAAGCATATCCAGGTACACAGTGTAAGCTGTCAGTGGATCTACCATTCTGGGGTCTGGAGGATGGTGGCCCTCTTTTTACAGCTCCACTAGGCGGTGCCCCAGTGGGGACTGTGTAGGGGCTCCAACCACACATTTCCCCTCTGCACTGCCCTATAGAGGCTCTCCATGAGGACTTCACCCCTGTAGCAGACTTTTGCCTGGACATCAAGGCATTTCCATACATCCTCTGAAATTGAGGTAGAAGCTCCCAAACCTCAACTCTTGCCTTCTGCACACCCATAAGCCCAATAGCACGTGGAAGCTGCCAAGGCTTGGGGCTTGCACCCTCTGAAGCAATGGTTCAAGCTGTACCTTGGCCCCTTTTAGCCACAGCTGGAACTGGGCAGCTGGGAAGTAGGGTGCCATGTCCTAAGGCTACACAGAGCAGCTGGGCCCAGGGCCTAGCCCACGAAACCATTTTTCCCTCCTAGGCCTCTGAGCCTGTGTGGCAGGGGGATGCTGCCACGAAGGTCTCTGAAGTGCCCTGGAGGCATTTTCTCCATTGTTTTGGCTATTAATATTCAGCTCCTCTTGTGCAAACTTCTGCAGCTAGCTTGAATTTCTCCTCAGAAAATGGGTTTTTCTTTTCTACCACATGGCCAGGCTGCAAATTTTCAAACTTTTGTGCTCTGCTTTGCTTTTAAATATAAGTTCTCTTTCCTTATGCAAATGAGCATAGGCTTTTAGAAGCAGCCACAGCACCTCTTGAACACTTTGCTGCTTAGAAATTTCTTCTGCCAGATACCCTAAGTCATCTCTCCCAAGTTCAAAGTTACACAGATCCCTAAAGCAGGGGCACAATGCCACCAGTCTCTTTGCTAAAGCACAGCAAGAGTGACCTTTGCTCCAGTTCCCGATAAGTTCCTCATCTCCATCTGAGAACACCTCAGCCAGGACTTCATTGTCCATATCACTATCAGCATTTTGGTCAAAACTGTTCAAGTCTCTAGGAGTTTCCAAACATTCCCTCATATTCCTGACTTCTTCTGATCCCTCCAAACTGTTGCAACTTCTGCCCATTACCCAGTTTCAAAGTTGCTTCCACATTTTTAGGTATCTTTATAGCAATGTCCCACTTCTCTGGTACCAATTTTCTGTATTCCTCCATTTTTACATGGCTATGATGAACTACCTGAGACTGGGTAGTTTATAATGAAAAGAGGTTTAATTGACTTCCAGTTCCACAGGCTGTAAAGGAGGATGGCTGGGGAGGCCTCAGGAAACTTAAAATCATGGCAGAAGATGAAAGGGAAGCAAGCACATCTTCACGTGGCAACAAGACAGCGAGAGAGTGAAGGGGGAAGTGCTACACACTTTTCAACAACCAGATCTCGTGAGAACTCACTATCTGAGAACAGCAAGGGGGAAATCCGCCCCCATGATCCAATCACCTCCCACCTGGTCCCTCCCCCAACACTGGGAATTACAGTTCCACATGAAATTTGGGTGGGGACACAGCCAAACCACATCAGCAGGATAGTGGTAGAAAGAGCATCAAGTGAATCTGGCACTTTGTAAACATATAAAAAGACAACAATATAATCACAGTTATCTTACTCATTATTTTTTTTTTAATTTTCTATTTTGAAACTTCAGGTTTAATAGAAAAGTTTAAAAAATGGAGAATTCCCATATTCCCTTCCCTGAGCTTTCCCAGTGTTAACTTCTTGTATAACCATAATAGAGTTATCAAAACTAAGAAGTCATCACTGGTACCGTATAATTAACTAAACAACAGAGTTTATTTGGATTTCTCCAAATAAACTGATGTCCTTGTTCTATTCCAGGATTCATTTTAGGATCCCACATTGCACTTACTTAGTTGTTGTGTCTCTTTGGTTTCTTGAGACCACTGACAGTTCCTCAGTATTTCCCTGTCTTTCATGACCTTCATACTTTTTTGAAGAGTATCCATCGTGTATTTTGTAGAATGTCCCTCAATTTGTATTTGTCTGTAATGTTCTCATGATTTGGTTGAAGTTACGCATTTTTTGACCAGAATACTACAGAAGCGAGTATGTCCTTCTGGATTTATTATATCAGGGGTACATAATGTTAATATGTCTTATTACCAGTAATGTCAACCTTGATCACCTGGCTAAGGTGGTATCTGCCAGTTTTTTCTACTATAAAGTTATTATTTTCCCTTTGTAATTAATATCCATTTTAGGGGCAATACTTTGAGGCTATACAAACATCTGTTTTTCCTCAAACTTTTGCCTGCTAATTCTAGCAAACTGGTATTTCTTGCCTGCGACAGCCATTACTGTAATGGTTTTTCTATTTTTCTCATTCCTTCAACATGTGTTACATTTATTACAGAATTCCTCTTTAAGAAATAATTATCTCTTTTCCCCCATTTACTTGTTTGTTCAATTATTTATTTACATCAGTATGGACTCGTTGATACTCATTTTATTCTATGAGTTATAAGGTAATAGTATTGTTTTTTATTTGTTGCTCAAATTCACTTACTTTTCTTACTCATTTAAATAATGTTGATTGGTTACCCACTCTGTGCCAAGCACTGTGTTTACAACTTTCATTTATATATAAGCTGTCATGTTTAATCACTGAAATAGTCCCAAAGGAAAAAGTGTTATAAGTCACATTGTATAGACAACGAAACTAAATCTGAGAAGGGACATATACTAGTTTAAGTAGCAAAACCAGAAGTCAGACCCAGGTCTCCCATATCCACTTCAAGACACCCAACTTATCTGGAGACTGAAGCGTATACAGCAAACAAGAGATAAGAAAGCAAACAGATGCCAGTACTGATATATAAAATTCAAATTTTGTGAAATTGTAAATGAGCCTAACAGGCTAGCAAGTCAAAGTCCAGGAAATCACACAGGCCTGCACACCAACAACTTGTTGCTCATGCACTTTGCACCTCTGTGGTCCGAAAGCCAGAATACTGAGAGGGACTCAGAGGAAAGAGGAGTAGGTTCCATTCTCCAGGATTCCCACTAGAGCCCAATAAGTTATAAGAAAAACAACTACTACAGAATGAACATTTAAGCTATCGCTAAACTTAACTCTATCATTTTCATCCCTTTAGCCCTAAGAAGTGAGATATTCTTGGACGATGGTAAGAAAGAAAATGGACCACATACCTTCTCAATAGAGGCATTTAACTTCCTGTCAAGTGACATGTCCTAGATTAATATGGGGAAAAAAAGCCATCAGGTATGATTATTATCAGAGGAGAGATCTGCAAATTAAGACACTGCAGTCTGTGCTGTCAGAATTCAGACCAATCTGCCAAGCTGCTATGAATTCACCAAAACATGAAACTATCGTGAATATTACATGTGTATATCCATATAATGTATGTGTATATTTAATATATATTTTTATATTTAGCATATATATTTTCATCCCAGCAGTTAATAGGAAAGACAATGAAATATAAGGCAACCCCAAATATGCAAATGTCTGCTAATGCCTGAGAAGGCTATTTAAATGAAGACAAGTTAGAAATCACTTCAAAATTTTCCTTTTTTTCCTTTTTTTTAAAAAAAAAAGAGAGATGGGATCTTGCTCTGTCTCCCAAGCTGAAGTGCAGTGGTGCCATCATAGGTCACTGCAGCCTCAAACTCCTGGGCTCAAGTGATCCTCCCACCTCAGCCTCCCAAAGTGCTGGGATTACAGGCATGAGCCACTGCACCTAGACTTTGACATTTCTAGTGATACCACAGTATAACTGCTGTTAACAAATTGCTGTATTGGTATCAATCTAGAACAGTGATTCTCAAACATGGGCAACAGAGGCCGGGGATGCAACTAAACATTTTACAATCTTACAGGACAGCCTTCACAACAAAGAAACATCTGGCCCAAGATGTCAGTAGTGCTGAGAAAAAGAACCCTGTTCTGGAAATATCGAAAGGCAATGCATATAAGGTATATTTGCACATTGAAAGTAGATTTATTTAGAAGAGGGAAATAGATGAATATAAAAGTACCTGGAGAATGTATATCTAGCTGTCTCTCAAGAATACTGTCCCAGAAATATTTGTACTTATTACCTGTGATGGCTAATTTTAATGTGGCAACTTGGCTAGGCCATAGGATACCCAGATATTGGTTAAACATTATTCTGGGTGTTCTGTGATGGTATATTTGCATGAGATTAACATTTAAATTGGTAGACCTGAGCAAAGAGGATTGCCCTTCATAATGTGAGAGGGCCTTGTCCTGTCAGTTGAAGGCCTGAATAGAACAAAAGACTGACTCTCCCCAACCCCCCAAGAGAATTCTACCTGACTGCCTTCTAACTGAAACATTGGCTCTTCCTGGTTCCTGCTTCCTGGCAGCCTGTTGGCCTTCAGACTTGCATTGGGACATCAGCTCTGCAGATTTTGGGCTTGTCAGCCTCCATAATCATGTGAGCCAATTCCTTATAATATACACATATGGTCATATAATCTCCTACTGGTTCTGTTTCTGTGGTGAACCCTGAGTACTACACCACCTGTGAAGCTCCTTTTAGTCTGGGATTTGGGTTAGTTGGTTTTGTTGTTTTATAAACTGTCTAAGTAATACTATTCTCATTGGTTTTTTGCTGTAATTACCCTCTTGCTAGGCATTATGTAATATAATCCCATCCAATCCAATGTTGGAATAAGTATTTGAATCACAAACATACCCCAATGTTGTGTAGGTCAACCGTGTTCTTATAATCTAATCTCATAGCTTTTTACTGCCTTTTAAACCCAAGCTCTTGGCCATGTTTATTTAGTAAAACAAATGGTAAATGTTAACGAGAAGTGTTCACTGCCATCTTCTCACACAAGGCTGTCTGACACCAACAACCGTACTAGTTGCCACCTCCAAATTAGATTCAAATGTCATGCTGAAAATTTCCCATTGGTATTTTGCTCTTTACACAGTTTGTAAGTGGAAAGGTTTAACTCTGAATTGGAAACTTCCTAATGTAAGCATTTGCATCAATTTTGTATTCTTTCAAACCAGGTACATTTGCCAAAGTCATTACTTTCTTTGATACAAAAATAGTCCAGGATGGCTTCTCTGTCTAATGTAAATTAAAAGGGAAGATTAGATTAGAAATTCACATGCTCCCTAATTTTAAAAATTCTAATTCTAAATCTTAAATGCCAGTTTTAAAAAAAGTAATTATTAATTACTAATGGCCTAAGGAAAATAATGTTAGTGGATTTCTAACAAGGGAAAAAACCCAAAACCAGACCTAATACTGTACTTCAATGTTGAACATCTCACTGATTATCTTCCTCTTCCTTTCTCTTGCCTCATTCAGGCTACTCCAAAGCATGCACTTAAGAGAGGTTAGGAGGAGATGTTTTTAATCTGCATTTTCTACTAGAGTCTTTTTTATGGATGAAAAAAAAATTGGAAGCTGCTGAAATGAGACATCTGTGTTCTACAATTCCCTGTTTGCTGCTCTCTTCCTCATTATCACAAATAGCAAAGTTAGCTATGATCTGAGAGCATTTTTCCAATTTAGTTTATATTCATGTTAAGCCACAGCCACATTTGGAGAAAAGCTGACAGCCCTAACTTTTATTTTTTTGTATTAATCTCCAAGGATCTAGGCAAGTTCCTAAAGATAAATCCATTTCCACCTCTCAGGAAGGGCTTGCCTTGAATTACTCACCAAATCCCAGAAATAGCCCATCGTGATTGCTTCCTAGTGTCACCAGATGTTGGTTTCTGCAGACCTTGCCGGGGACTATCCATCCTAGGCATGACATTTAGCACAAGAACCTTTTTAAGCCTAAGTCAGTTATACTCAGTAATGGCTGGTTGGAGAGAACTGAGCTCCCGTTAAATACCAGGTCTGGTTAAGGAATAATCCAGGAAGCAGAAAGACTTTGCAACTTCAAAGGAAGGGTTCACATAATTCATTTCACATTACCATTATGTGGTATGACTATGAGTAAAAATGTTCTAAATGTCCCAAAAGTATCTGCAGGACCAAAATGGAGGAGACACCACAGCATTGCCTGTCCAGATTGCCAGACAACTCTGCCCTGAAGCAGCAGGAGTTACCCGCCCACCGGCTGTATTTCACGGCCAGGAGAGTCCTCTTTGTCTTTTTCACAACAGGAATATTCTGCCTTTGTATGGGCATCATCCTTATATTGTCTGCAAGGAGCACTCAGGAAATAGAGGTTTGTCCCATCTTACATTCTGAATGCAGTTTCTGAGAATGTTCAGCTTTGGCACCATAAGTGAGTATGGTCAGTTTGAGAACACAGCCCCTCAAGAGCGTCTGTATAAGACGGGAACATCCCTCTTTCTGCTGGCAGTCACAGATGGTGACAGAGTCCGTGTAGAGTGGCTTCGTTCATCCCTGCTCCCTCTTGAGGGCAGTTACTCTCATGCCAGTGAGCTCAGACATGTTTGTGTACAAGGGACTGACAAAATTAGAAGCTTTTTTTTTTTCTTTTTTTTGAGATGGAGTCTTGCTCTGTTACCCAGGTTGCCGTGCAGTGGCACAGCCTTGGCTCACTGCAACCTCCACCTCCCGTGTTCAAGCAATTCTACTGCCTCAGCCTCCCTAGTAGCTGGGATTACAGGCACCTGCCACCACACCTGGCTAATTTTTTTTTATTTTTATTAGAGATGGGATTTCACCATGTTGGCCAGGCTGGTCTTGAACTCCTGACCTCATGATCCACCTACCTCAGTCTCCTGAAGTGCTGGGATTCCAGGCGTGAGCCACCGCGCCTGGCTGAAGCTCTTTTCTTATGCTGGCAGGGAAGAGAGCAAGTGACTAATAGAGGCAGAAGAAGAGTCAAGGCCACATGACTACTAGAGACCCATGAGTCATGCTGATAAAAAGAGCAAAGTGTCCAAGATACAGATTCAATACTGCCCCACTTTCAAGCATTGTGTCTTTCCCTTTGCAGATGAACTCCCTCTGAGATCCAGGAAAGACAAAAGCCCAAGTCTTTCTGGCATCTTAAGGATATTTAGCAAAACTAAGTTCTACTCAGAGTGAGAAAAGCTGATGCCGAGGGCAGACCTCTCAGGAACAAGCCTTTTGCCAATTTAACAAGCTGTTTGAGGATGAGAATCCCGAAGCTGGTCTAGAGAGGGAAGACAAGAGCTAGTCTAAGGCTTGATTGGCCATGCCCATATTCAATCTAATGAATTAAGTATATGTTTCATCCATATCAACTCCAGGCAGATTTCTGGACATCCCAGACCACATGAGCTCCACTCTGAAAGAAGTAACCATGGAAAGCTGATCTATTCCCTCTCCCCACATGGCTACTGGCAAAATTAAGATGAAGGCCAAGTCTACCAACATTAGTTTACAATTTTTGAGTGTCAGCTGGGTGCGGTGGCTCATGCCTGTAATCCCAGCACTTTGGAAGGCTAAGGCGGGTGGATCACCTGAGGTCAGGAGTTCAAGACCAGTCTGGCCAACATGGTGAAATCCTGTCTCTACTAAAAATACAAAAATTAGCCAAGCGTGGTGGTGCATGCCTGTGGTTCTGGCTGCTCGGGAGGCTGAGGCAGGAGAATCACTTGAACCTGGGAGGCAGAGGTTGCAGTGAACAAAGATTGCACCTCCGCACTCCAGCCTGGGTGACACAGCGAGACTCCATCTCAAAATAAAATAAAATTTATGAGTATCTGAAGGTGCCTAAGGGTTCTGTTGACTATGCAGAAGAGTAAGATGAGGAAGAATGGATTCGTGCCCTCAATGAGCTGAGAACAGAATAGGTAAAATAGTATGTAGTAAGAACAGAGAGCTTAGCTATGGCTGGCTGTTTACTGCATCACCACCCGCTTCCTTGCACATTGCCCAGTATGTGATAGGCACACACTTATTGAAAGAATGGACTAGGGCAGATAGTGCAGAACCCAAAGAGGAAAATGTCTTTTCAGGCTCTACTCCTCCTCCCAAAGCACACTGCTCTGTTGCCTCTCTACTTAACATTTTTTCCTCCCCACTTCCAGCTCCCAGAGCTTATCTCCCTGGGAATTAAATGACAGCAAGACCTGCAGTGTTACATGTGAACCCCCACCAGCCTCCACCATGTGGCAAAGGCAAAATGGCAGGAGGAGATGAACCTTACCTTGCTGAAGGGGATAGCAAAGGAATGGGCTTACAACGTTGATGTCCATTTCCACAGAGTTCATGCAATTTACTTTTCTACTTTCTTCCTCACCGATCCCTTTCATTCTGGTTCTTCCTTCCCATGTCATTCTTTCTTCCTCCCTTGCAACCCTGCCCCCTACCCACCCATTGTGGAGTGCAGCCTTCACTAAGAGGTACCCATGCATGAGAAGGTGACCTCATTCCATACCAACTATTGGCCATGGCCACTCCACAAACAGAATGCTTTTATCTCATGAAATCTACAGGCATTTTCCAACTAACTTTGTTTCTTTAGTTGCTTCAGATAGGACTGCTTCTGACACTTCACTTTTATACTCAAAAACCAGTGTTTCATTTTATTGGGTGATAATATAGAGTACACACTCCAGGCCAATGTGATCAGGCACAGACATCATAGAAAAGACTTCTGAGCCTTTCTTCTCACTTAGCCCTGGGGCACAAGGATGTTCTCTCTCTGCAGTTCACTTTAAACAAGAATAATTTCTGCCTCTCCAAAATTCTATGAGAAGCAGACTGATCATTGCTCCATCTCATAGCTATTCATGTACAAGTCCACTCAAGCAGCAAACTGAGGATACTGTCATTGCATAGACAATAGATAAGGGATATTTTTTAGGCAAAAAAGCACCATGGATATCAACTACTCAAAAATTATTTGATCATGAAATATTTTCTTGAGTACTACATTGACAGAACTCACAAGAGGAATTCATGAAGTAGCATGTATACTACTACAGTGACCTCACAGATCAATTAATTGCTGCATGAAATGATGCTGATGGGCAAAATGTGGGCCCTAGAGGTTAAGCACTTAACTCAAGGTCAGAGATTGGCTGAACTAGAACCCCAGTTTCCTCAGACACCATTCAGTATGCTGTCTCTCCATTGGGATACGGCCCTGTTCTTTAATGCTTTTTATAAATTGAAATGTAGTCCACCAACAGAAATGGCATAAATATTTTCAAAATAATAGTTCAAGTCTTGCTGTGTATTTAAAGAATGATTTAGCTACATATAAGCATCTAAGTACAATGAAGTGTAGCATTTTCACTAATCTTCAATTTAGTGTTCACACTTCACCTTTGGGCTTCAAAACCCTTAGTAGCTTTACAAGTATGCAAAATTCCTTCTGTCTTCCTTGTTTTCCCTTCAAAGGAATCCTAACTTCTACTAGCACCTTACCAAGGAGAAAGCCACTCCCTTGCTTCCCTGCTCCTCACACTCCCATAATCGTCTAATCACTCCTCAACACAGTGAGGGCAAGGCAGAAGCAGCCCACTGCAGCACCCAGGACAGCCCCAGGGCCCCTGAGATGAACATTCTTGCAGATCAGGCAGAAGTACAGCCCCGTGCACACCCTCCGGAGCCTCTCCTCCTTACTCTTCTAGCTTCATCTTCACAGAACTCAGTGCCTCAGCCAGAGCTCACAGGAGCCACCCATTTGGGACATACTACCCTTTTTTTTTTTCCTTTTTTTAAAGAGTCCATTAAACTATTTTTCACAGAATTTTACTTTTAAAAAACAGAATGCAACAGCATTTTAGGACCAGAATAATTCAACATATGTCAATAATCTTACATTTTGGAAACACTTCTTTTTCTGTTTGGTCATTTTTAATAACTTCCTCTGGATGCCATGTAGAATAATTCACTAGTATAAATATTTTCCATACAATAGAATGGAAAAACAGTGAAGTGACTTCCCCATAAAGTTGATTAGACTCAGGCTGTAAGCCTAGTTCTCATGAGTCATTGACTAATACCTTCCTAGCAACTGACACCTCTTTATGATCGGGGGTAAAGCTTCATCACAACAGGTTATATAAATATGCAACAGGAACACTGAACTCTGGGCCAGTGGCAAAATGCTGCCAGTCCCCAGATAAAAGACTGTGGGAAGGCCCACACCTCCTGAACATCCCCAGAAACACTGGCCCTACATATGGGCTGCTGCATTCATGTCCCAGACTATGGGCCTGACCCAGACAGGGGGAGACTTGGGTGGACTCCAGATTTGAATTTTAAGATATGTACCCAAGTAACTTTTTAATTAATCATTTTTTTCCTTGCCTGACAGATTAATTACACAAGAATATGTGCAAATTGTGCAAAACTGCGGGAAAATGCCTCTAATTTTGACAAAGAATGCACCTGCTCTATTCCCTTTTACCTTTCAGGAAAAATGATGGTAGGTGAAATTCAAGAAACTTCAGTTGACTTTACACTGATCTATTCCTATGTAACACTTAGAAGTAAGTTCACAATTTCCATGAAATGCTTTCCAAAACTGAAAATATAAAAAATAAAGCAGGATGGTGGTGGTGAATCCGAAAGAGTGTTGAGTTCCTATCCCCTCCCTCCTTTTTGAGTAGTATTCTCCTCCTTTGTTTCTTTGTTTCTAAGTTGCACAATTCTTTACCTTTCCAACTTTGTAACATAAATCTTATCTACCAAACAGGTTTTACTCTAAATATCAGCACAGGGACTGTGTGTGAATTTACATTGAATTGAACCACGAATTTTATAGTGAGAAAATTAATGGGCTAAGAGGTGAAGTAACTTGGCTAAGGTCACACAGTAGGTTGGTGTCAGGGGTCACACACTTGGGGAAACCTTCCCTGGGTCTCCCCAAGTCATTCCACATGTGCAATTACCTAATTCCCAAGGGGACAGTCTGGCTGTCAGGCACTGTGAGAAATACCAAAGAAATACTGAGAGAAGTCCCCACTCACGGGTTGATTTAAGTCTCATGTTAGTCAAGTCCTCTGAGAAGCAGATGCCAAGACAGGGTTAGACATCCGAGAGATTTACTGGGCAAAGCCTCTGAGGGGAAATGGGGAAGGAGCAGGAGGAGGTTGGGAGAGTGCTGATCCTTAGAAAGGGGAGGGGAGGGGAAGAGAGAAGGAAGGAGGGAGGGGAGGAGAGAAGTGAGGAATATTTTTCAGGAGGTGATGAGTCTGGTTTGGAACCAGCTGAATTTGAGGTGGGAGCAGGGCTTGAGGTAGAATGCTCAGTGAGCAGCTCAAGAGAAGGCCGCCCTGTACCTAGATTCAGCCCATGTAGAGTCACTTATGAAGGGGAAGGATGGGGGACCAGGTCTGTGTGGAGGGTGCTGCAGGGGGAAAGGTGCAGAGTCCAGAAACAGAACAGGACCTTAAAGTACATTTGAAGAGTTGAAGGAAATCAAATTTTTCATTTGATTAAGTCTTGACTAACAAGTAAGACTGTGAAGGCCATGAAAAGGCTCCTCTCAGATCTACTGCAGGGAGTGTAACTGAGGGATATCACCAGCTGCTGTGCTCTGAAATCACTGTGTGTTTGCACTAAGGTCATGCTTCCACGGCCACCTCAGCCAGTGGCTGAGCACAGCAGGAACATCGAGGTAGGTTCTTTCCTGGGAGTGGGGACTCTTCTGATGGGTGTCTTTGGGGATTTCCTGTCAGCCTTGCTGAAACTTTAAGAATGCATTGCAGTCTTGGCCCTTCCTCCCTCACTCTCTTCACCCTCTCTCACTACCCTCCTTCCTTCCTTTCTTCTTTCCTCTCTCCTTTTGTCTTGAGGGCTCAGAATGCTAAAGTTTTTGGAAAAAAAAAAAATCCAAAAGGGCTTCAATTCCCATCTGTCAGTGTCCTTCAAAACTAAAACAGCAAATGAAGTGTTACCAGCTGCTAACCATTCCCTTCAGGCAGAGCTTTCTCATAAAAACCCAACTAAACTACTTAGAGCAATCACAGGGCCTTCAGCTCGGCAGCTACCATGCATGACACTGGGGAACCACAGCAATGAATCCACACAAGACTCTGTCTTAAAATAAGCAAAGAAACCCTGCACCAAGTGCCACTGAATTTAGAGAAGAAAACCACCATAAAGTGAATTGTGCCTCCAGGGACCATCAAGAAGATGATCTTGGAGGCCTCGTTCAGCTAAATCTTGGACAAAGAATCACTGAAAAGAGGTTATGGAAACGCCCCAGTCCCTAGTGTGCCGAGTATTCTGTGCCTGTTTATTTTGTCATTTACGTGAACATATAACTCTGATTAAGTAGAATTCTCTTTTTAGCTTCCAAGAAAATGTATGGTAAGTTCCATTCTGTGGATTTCATATTTTCTATCGTCATGGGTCAACAATAGAGGTTCCTGCTTTGGATGAGGAAACGTAATGGGTCCTTCCCACTAAGCCTGGCTTGCTTGCCTTCATGCCAACACTCCCTGTTGACTACGATGCAGCCTGCTTCTTCGCCATGGCCCAGCATCTCCTTTTTCAGTGTTCCAGAAATTATTCTCTTACAAGTGACTGAGTTCTTCAGCCTTTCTTGCATTCTAAAGCTGGCCACATTTACCATGACTTTCCTTCCCTGTTTACCATGGGTACCACCTCCCATTTTCCATACTCATCTTAAAGAAGATGCTCTTAAGGTCCTTAGGAAATAAGGCCAAAGCCTTTCCAAAATGCTGTTTTTGCACAGGGTAAAAGAATCAATGGACTCAGGGACTTATAAAGGAATGCTTTTGTACTTCTAGCACTGAATATAGCACCTAACACATGGGAAGCACTTAATAAAAGTTAGGCTTTTATATTTTTGGATTCAGGTCTTCATTATTTTGGAGGTATGGAGTGTATTCATTTTAAACAGCTACATGGGACATTTCTATATGTGCTGTTAGTAAAATCTATGAATATGTTAAATCCATATGGATATTTCCATATGTGCTATTAATAAAATCTGTATCAAGTCTGCCTGGAGAATTTCCAGGGCCTTAATATATTACCATAAAGGTAGAACCATGGTGGTAGGTAGTGGCTGGGCAGCCTTACTTACATGGCAGCATACATGAAACACATCTCTCTCCTGACAACAAGGCTACTTATTGCTAGGGTGAAAATCACCTTCTTTCTTTTGGATCAGTGAATTATTCCATCTTTTTCTCTGTAACAAATAGTTCACCATTTCTTAAGCAAGTATTATGTGCCAGGTACTGCATTAGATCCAAAAAATCCAAAAGGGCTTCAATTCCCATCTGTCAGTAAAATTCTAGGCCGGGAGTGGTGACTCACGCCTGTAATCCCAGCACTTTGGGAGGCTGAGGCTGGTGGATCATGAGATCAGGAGATGGAGACCATCCTGGCTAAGGCGGTGAAACCCTGTTTCTACTAAAAATACAAAAAATTAGCAGGGTACGGTGGTGGGTACCTGTGGTCCCAGCTGCTTGGGAGGCTGAGGCAGGAGAATAGCATGAACCCAGGAGGCAGAGCTTGCAGTGAGCCGAGATGGCGCCACTGCACTCCAGCCTGGGCGGCAGAGCAAGACTCCATCTCAAAAAAAAAATTAATTAAAAATAAATAAATAAATAAATTCCTAGAGTGGGACTGCAAGGAGCTTCCAGTCTCATGCCTTTCACAGGCTCAGTGTACAGATGCACCTAAATATGCTCAATGGCTTGAATTTTAAATTCTTTTTCACGGATTTGCTGTAAAATCACGTGATTTTTGCTGTCAACCACAACCTCTAAGCAAAGCATTTTTCCTCATATTTCTGGGAAATGATGACATTTATAAAACCAAATTTTATGTATTGAAAATATGCTTGATTATAAAAATTTTTCAAAGAAAAGAATGTAGCAGCCCTTAAAAAAACATGCAAAGATAGTTATTTAGTTATTCCAACAATTCTGTACAGACCAGGATTTCCCACTGTAATTTTTTTCTTTTTTTTTTTTTTTGAGATAGGGTCTCAGTCTGTCACCCAGGCTAGAGTGCAATGACACGATCATAGCTCACTGTGACTTTGAATTTCTGGGCTCAAAGGATCCTCTCCTCAGCCTCTGGAGTAGCTGGAACTATAGGCACATGCCACACCGGCCTAATTTTTCTTCTTTTCTTTTACTGTAGAGACAGGGTTTTGCTACATTGCCCAGCCTGGTCTCAAACCCCTGGCCTCAAGTGATTCTCCTGCCTTGGCCTTCCAAAGCACTGGGATTATAGGCGTGAGCCACTGTGCCCAGTCTCAAAATTGATTTTTTTTTAAATGATTTATTGGGTTTCTATTTCCCATAAATAGGCTTTGAGTTTCTATCAATTTTTTTCTGTGCTTTTATTTTAAAATTTCCTGTCCATGTTTATTAATATTCCAGTTAATTTTTCTTACTCTCCTCTTACTTCTTTTCTTCTACACAGGGTAATGTTTATATGTACTACAAATTGTATGGCTTCTATCAGAACCTGTATCGATATGTTCGATCCAGAAGTAATAGACAACTGGTGGGCAAAGATGTAAAAGTAAGGCTTGATTTAATCTGGTATAATATTCTTTCTTTTTTTTAAGTCAAGTGGATTTTTCAGTCTAAAAGAAGAGATGGAAGACAAACTCAAATGCTACAAAACAGAAATGCTGATTTCATTCTTGTGTAAACTGAAGGGACTGGGTATTCAGGATAACTGTTATTGAAAAGTAGCACTTTCCCTCTTTAGAGCAGTGATGTGAATCTTGTCCAACTGAATGGTGATCCTTTCATGCACCATTTTGATAGCAACCTTGAGTAGTTAGTCTCAGCGTGGCTGAGCCTAACTACCATTGTCCTTCCTGTCATTGGGGCCTTCAATCCAGCCTACTTTAAGGAAATTAGGCTCTATTCGATTGAGTAAAAGCCTTTTGCTTTAATCGAATACCTTTTAAAACCTATGATTATACATTTTTACTCTTGGTAGATGATACTCAGCGTGTGTAAGAAAAGCTAGAATGAAATTTTTTTCCATAGCAACATTATTATACTAAAGTGATTTTTAGCAACCACTCTTTTAAAAATGTATTTGGTAGTTGTGTGGATGGATTCCCTGTGATAAGTCATCTAGTTGTAGACTCATGATTTTTATACTTTTCTGAATGTAATACTTCAATATTGCCAAGGCCCTGAGTGATTGTGTGGAACAAAGTCCCCCCCACCTCCACAACCCCATTAGATAGTGATACAAGTGAAAAGTAAGTTGTTACTGTTTTAACCACTAAAATAAAATAAGCTACATGTCAATAAAAAGAGGTTTTAAAAATGTACTTCATTATAGGTTTAGCGTGATATATAGCACAGCCAGTAAGGTAAAGTTCCTTCTTGCAGACATTTTAGGTATGCTATGTATTATTAATGAGGAAAAAACACAGAGACACACATCCACACACATACGTATCTCCAAAACACAAAAATTTCCCAGTCTAAGTGAACCAGAAGCCTAGGAAAACCACGCAGCAGTCTGTAATCTTAGTCACTGCCAGTAAATCATCGGGGGGTGATTTACATTGCCAATGTTCTCTCTCACTTTTAACATTCTAAGAGAGTTTACCAAAAGCATGTCTCATTGCTGTATCCTCTTGCATCCAGGCTGTTGAGGACTGTGCCCCATTTAAAATGTCCGACAATAAGACCCCCATCGTTCCTTGTGGTGCTATTGCCAACAGCATGTTCAATGGTAGGTGACTTTTCCTATCTCCATGGTGTACCCTTTCATGAGTGTGTAACAACCTAAATGTCCAGAAATTCACCTCTGAAGCTAACTGGCAGTTTTTTGTTTTGTTCCATTTTAATTCTGTAAACATCATCTGGACTAAGTCAGAGCACTGACTTACAGTATGTCATTTGCAAATAATTCCTCTCTTGCCAAACATCTGAAGGAATAGTCAAGGAACATGAGTTAAATGGAGCTGAAGGGTATTTCTCAATAATTGGCTCAATTTTGGCAGGAAAAAGAATGGTCTTGTGATTCCAGCATCCATGGCATGTAGGCGTGTTGAGAGTCTGCAAAATCCCTGATTTGTCAGCTGTGTCTGGTTCTGCATTTCAAAGGGTGGCAAAATTGCTAGACTGCATCTCTAACATAATTTTTAATTTCCTTACAGACACCATAATTCTTTCACACAACATTAATTCATCTGTACAAATCAAAGTGCCAATGCTAAAGAGTGGACTTACGTGGTGGACAGATAAGTATGTCAAATTTCAGAATCCAAGTTCCAAGAATCTTGCTGATGAATTTAGAGGTAAGATCCATACAGTAGCTCAATATACTTATCTCTTAATGAAAACTTTGTTTCTTACATGTGGAGAAATGTTTATGAATCCTCCTTCTTTATGTCCTTGTTGACTCCTTTTTGTTCTAACTCTCCCTACCACGAACATCTCTAATGCACACCTATCAAAAACATGAAAAGATTGATGCCCTGGTTTCTTCCAGTTTTCATTAGGGAATAGACAATGGTTTAAGACACTTACTGCTTCAGCTATAATAAGGATGAACATGTAATTTGTTGTCCAAACTGGTACCCTTTAGAGAGTGAAAGGGGGCACTTGAATAGCTATATACTTACTTAAAATTTTTATATCTCAATCAATAAATTGACATAATATTGATGGACTTATAATCCAATTAAAAACTATTTTCTTAGGAGGCCAAGATAGGCAGATCACCTGAGGTCAGGAGTTTGAGATTAGCCTGGCCAAGACTGTGAAACTCTGTCTCTACTAAAAATGCAAAAAATTAGCCGGGTGTGGTGGTGCATGCCTGTAGTCCCAGCTACTTGAGAGGATGAGGCTGGAGAATTGCTTGAACCTGAGAGGTGGAGGTTGCAGCAAGCCAGGATTGCGCCACTGCATTCCAGCCTGGGTGACAGAGTAAGACTCTTACAAAAAAAAAAAAAAATTCAAAAATCAAAATAGCATATACATTAAACCCACTTTAAAAAAAACTACTCCAGTTATTATCTTAACATTAAAAGATAACATAAGCTGAGTCCTGGGGGGGGCTTCAAGATGGCTGACTAGATGTGTCTGGTACTTGCTTCTTCCACAGACAGGAACCACAGAGAGTGAGTAGGTAATCACTCTTGGAACTTACAAGAGAATACTAGAATTCAACAGAGAAGTGATGGGAGGCGTTACCAGTGGTGAATCCACAGGGGTCTGCAGCAACTTGATTGTTGCCTCCTCTAAGGAAAGAATTTGGCCAAGGGGCATAAGGCAGAGGGAGAGACCAAGGCAGCAAGTTTTAGAGCAGGAGTGAACGTTTATTAAAAAGTTTTAGTGCAGGAATGAAAAGAAGTAAAGTACCCTTGAAAAAGGGCCAAGCACGCGACTCAAGAGATCCAAGTGCCCTATTCAGCCTTTGACTTGGGGTATATATACATTGGTGTGGTTCTGGAATTTGCATCTCTCCTCCCTTGATTTTCCCTTGGGGTGAGCTGTCTGCACGCACAATGGCCTGCCAGCATTTGGCGGGGTTAGACGGCGGGGTGGGGGCACACGCACCATGGGTTTACTAAAGTTGTGCATATGCTCATTTGAGGCTTTTTTTTCCTTACCAGTCAAATGTTCCCAGAGGAAAATCAGGTATCAGTTAAACGCCTCCATTTTGCCTCTTAGTGCACATGCTTGAGCCTGCTCACCCAACTCCTGAGATTTTATTGAGAAGCTGATGATCACCAGCTTCAGGTGTTGTGTACTAGGAGCCTGCTGGTCCCTGGCGCCAGCTGCAACCGATTATTATTTTACAGAGACAGTTTACCAACCACAGAGACAGGTGACGGTCACCTGACATTCCTGGGTTGGGTGCCTCTCCTGCCCTGCCCTTGCCTGCCTAACTACCTACTCTAACAGATGCACCAAAAGCAAGGAAGGAGAGAAAGAAAGGCCACCTGTTTGGCTGGGATCAGTTGAAAGTCTGGGGAGGCCCCCTAGTGAGGGAAAAGAGTAACTGGGAGATCTCCAGCAGTTCACATTCCCACTGCTGACTCCTACAACCCTAGCCATGGGAGAGTCCCTTGACCTTCACGGCCATGAGACTAACACAGGGAGCTCCCTGGAAACCACGTGAAGGCATTACCCCAGAAAGAGAACTCATGCTGGGTCCCACCAACTCCAAAGTCCTAAGCAGCTGCAGCACAGCACCATTTTGAGAGCTCAGCCCATACCAGACTGCATCCTGGGCAGCTGCCTGAGCCTGCTGCCTGGACAGCAACAGGAGCCACAGGTAGCAATCTGCCCCAGCAGAGGGGCAGCCATGTATTTTCAAAGCCTGGATGACAAAGAAAAACAGGCCAGGTGCAGTGGCTCATGCCTGTAATCCCAGCACTTTGGGAGGCTGAGGTGGGTGTATCACAAGGTCAGGAGTTCAAGACCAGCCTGGCCAATAGAGTGAAACCCCACCTCTACTAAAAATATAAAAAGTAGCCGGGCATGGTGGCGGATGCATGTAATCCCAGGTACTCAGGAGGCTGAGGCAGGAGAATCGTTTGAACCCGGGAGGTACAGGTTGCAGTGAGCCAAGATCGCACCACTGCACTCCAGCTTGGGCAGAGTGAGACTTCATCTCAAAAAACAAAACAAAACAGAAAAAAACAACTCTGCCTTCATCACTAGAAAGGCTACAGCCCAACATATGGCCTTGGGGTCACTCCACTCTGGCCCACTGCAGTTAGCATCTGCCTGTACCACTGGGGAACCTGAGGGCATTGCCCAGCCTGGCTACAACCCCTGCAATACCTGAGCACATCATCCAGGAGCCTGGGAACCGCAGAGCCCAGCCCACCACCAGTGGCACATGAGTACTCCTCCCAGCATCTGAGGTTAGGCCCACACAACCTGTTGCTACCACCACAGCTGGCACCCACCCACATATGCCACCTACACCTCTGGCAACTGACTTGCCCAACCCATGCTAGGTACCACCAACACCAACAAGGACCACTGGGGTCCCAGAGGGTTGTCCCACCACTGCTACTGCCATTATCCACACCACATCCACTGCCCAGACACTCAAGAACCCATCAATCCACCTGGCCCACCACTGCCATTCCTGGCACCCGAGCAAGCCTTCTGGAGACCCAAGCAGCAGCCTGCCGGGCTTCCTAATACTAGTCACAGTGTACATCATGGGGTCCAAGGACCCCCATGCTCAGTTCACTGCTGCCACCACTGGGGCCCAAACACTGGCCTACCTGGTGCCCTAGTTCCCAGCAAAACTTCACCACAGCCTCCACTAACAACCACACTCTGAGCCACAGAAGAAATCACTGATACCATGGATGCTGTTTAAAGCCAAAGAAATCAAACACTGTAACTGCCCAAAGGGTCTTCCTGCCCTTCCATAAACAAAATTGACTCACTGAGACCATGTCATTGCAGTAAAGCAAGATTTTAGTTGATCTGAGGCCGGCCACACCACACGGGAAATGGAGTTATTACTCAGATCAATCTCCATGAAGGCTCGGAGGTTAGGGGTTAGATGGTTTGGTAGGGGTAGGTAGGGTAGGGGACATGCTGATTGGTTGGGTCAGAGATAAAACCATAGGGAATCAAAGCTGCCCTCTTGTGCTGGGTCAGTTCCGGGATGAGGGCCACAGGATTGTGTGGCAGGTCCAGGTGCGGCCATCCAGTTGTCAGAAATGCAAAAACCTGAAAAGACATCTCAAAAGGCCAACCTCAGGTTCCACAATAGTGATGCTATCTGCAAGTAACTGGGGAAGTTGCAAATCTTATGACTTCCAAATAATGGCTGGTAATTATTTAGAATTCAAGCCCCTCTCATCCTCCTAACTTGGCAGTCTTTCGTTAGTTTTGTAAGTACAGTTTAATTTTGAGAAAGGACTATTATTACTCAAACTATAAACTTCTCCCAAAGTTAACTTTGCCTACGCCCAGGAATGAGCTGGGGCAGCCAACCTGTGGGGCTAGAGGCAAGATAGAGTCAGCCATGTCAGATTTCTCTTACTGTTATAATTTTGCAAAGGAGGTTTCAAAACTATCCTACTGCATGCACCCAGAATCAACGCCAAAGTGCCCTACCCAGCAAACACTATAGACATATCTTTTAAAAAAATCCTCCCCCATAAAAGCAAAATTTAAAAATTGGAAGACGTGACTGTTATATCAAATGCACAGATATCAATGGAAGGATACAGAAAACATGAAAAACCAAGGAAATAGGATACCTCCAAAGAAACACAATAATTCCCCAGCAACAGATCCCAATCAAAAAGAAATGTGTTCGGGAGTATGTTAATTTGTACAGTTTCAAGAGTTCCTCTTGGAACTGATTTCTAGTCTTATTCCACTGTGGTCCAGGAAGATACCTGGTATGATTTCAGTTTTTAAACGTTTATTGAGATTTATTGTGTGGAAGAGACAAAAACAATTGATAAATCACTAGCTGGACTAACCAAGAAAAGAAGAGAGATGCTCCAAATAAGCGAAATCAGAAATGCAAAAGGAGACATTACAACTGATACCACAAGGAAAGAAAAGATCATCTGAGACTATTACGAACAGCTAACAAACTTTTATGCTAACAAACTGGAAAACCTAGAGGAAACGAATTCCTGGAAACATACAACCTTGTTTGAACTAAGTTTCAATAAAGATTCAAACTTGTTCAAGTTTGAACTAAGTTGAATTAGGAAAAAATAGAAAACCTGAGCAGACAAATAATGAGGAGCAAGATTGAGTCAGTAATAAAAAATCTTCCAACAAAGAAAGAGCCAGGATTGGATGGATTTACTGCAATATCCTACCAAATGTATAAAGAATAACTAATACCAATCCTCCTCAAACTATTCGAAAAAACTGAAGATGAGGGAACTTTCTATAACTCTCTAATTCTGCAAGACTAGCATTATTACTCTGATACCAAAACCAGACAAGGATCCAACAAAATAAATGGAAACTATCGGCCAATATCCCTGATGAACACGAATGCAAAAATCCTCAACAAAATACTAGCAAATCAAATCCAGTGGCACATCAAAAAAAAAAATACACCATGATCATTACACATTCTATGCATGTAACAAAATTTCACATGCACCTCATAAATATGTACAAATATATCAAAAACAAATAAGTAAAATGTAAATCTTATTTTTATTTTTTATTTTTAGTTACCAGCTCTTACACAGAAAAAGGTGAATTTTTACAAATTTAAAAAATAAAAGTAAATCTAAAAAAGGGATAACAAGCAGAATAATTATTATTCATACATACTCACATG